TTAGGCTAGCTAAGCGATCCAGGGATTTCTTTGTATCTAAGTTGTCACGTGATCAAAATAGCTACGGATAGCCAGCTATTTGTGGGAACATAGAATAGCCAGCTATCTACAGCTATTCTATGAGGACGAAGGTTCTATATAAGACTGGCACGTCTGCCATTAGATAGGAGCTTCGTGCTCAACTTAGTTATCAATCTTATCATATTAGTTTGACATCTTTGATACAAGTAACGAGTTCACTTCCAAGTGAACAACCCGGTAGTCTTCTTCTTATCATAGCATACCAACCAGCGAACACCCAGCCAAGTTTAGTTAGCCAGTTTGAGTATTCGTTACATATAGCTAGGCTAGGCTTATAGCATCCTACTGTTCTAATTACTCGTAGCGAGAATACTAAGTAAGGAATACTAAGTAAGGCTAACCTAAATCGAGCCTTCTGCCGACTGGTGGAGTAGCTGTTAGGTACGGAGTAAGGGATCATAGGTATGTACAGTATTATATCCAGGTCAGTATAAAAAGGGAGGCACGGATTACTGTAAGCGAAGAAAAGAATATGTAATAGAAAAAGAGTTGAAAAAACTAGAGAATTAAGGCCTCGGAAACGCTCAACACGCGCGCAAGGAAAATGCTAAGCAGAGACCAGACCCAAAACCATCCCGTACGCCCGTTTAGAGCCCTTCTATGAACATGCTATACACACAAAACTCTCTCTCCGTCTCTCTTGACAAGAGAAAACGAGCCTTTACTATCTCTTCCTATCCAAATTTCGAATGGGGCCGCAAAAATCATGAAATGGCCTCAATGGCAATCGGCTCCTCCTTCCCGACGTTTCGTCTACGCACATCGGTTTCGTCAAGATCTATCTTGACTTTTCCGTTGGCGGTGCTTCGTGCTGAGGTCTTGAGTTTTCTTCGCTCTTCCTTAGGTGGTTGGAATCTCTTGCGGACTGTCTCGATCATCTTGCCGAACCAGTAGAAGTTGAGGGTGTTAAGAATGATGTTGCTTCCAAGATAGGTAAATGCCAGCCATAGGGGAACGTATTCCTCGCCAGCGAATCGCATCATTTCGCTGTGGATTGGTGCTGCGCTGTGTCCTGTTGCGGCGTCGAGACCGGCAGCTGTGCCATTGTTGAGAGCGTCTAGGTGGATGCTTGCAGCGGCTGATTGATGGTGCACAGCGGCCCAGACATCTTGGTATACTCGGACGGATTGGTATGTACCCCAGACCAAACGGCAAGAAAAGAAAGTTGCCAATAGCATGATTCCATTATATAATTGTGCTTTGGATCCCGTCATGTCGAGTTTATCAAAGAACCAGTGGAAATTTAGCAATGGGGAGGAGAGTTCGTATAGGATGAAGGTGCAGCCGTAGAAATTTACAAAGGGTCTCTGAACACCGAATTAGCAAGAACCCATACATTTTTTGGGGGGAAACTCACAAAACCAAAAGAAAAAACTATCAGCGCACTCATGGCATGAGCAAGCATGCCCAATCCAAAGAGTCGCACGTTCTGTAGCGTCACCACCAAATCCCACAAGAAATAGCCGGCAGCCATGCCCTGAATCATTCCAGCAGCACCGGTATAACCCCACACTCTTTCCAGCGCATTCATGTTCTTGCGCTCCTCATCTGCGTGCATCACCCATAATGCTAAGACGTTGATGACGGTGCTCTGGCAGAGGGACACCACATGGACATCCCAGTTGATCTTTCTGTCGGGCGAAAGCTTTGCATATTTGACAGGAAACAGTTTTCTGGAGATCCACGGAGCCACAGCAACGTTGATAAAGTAATATGCTAGAAAAGACCCCAGGACTTCGTGGATGTGGAGTGGGAGAGTAACGAGGCCGGTGTAGTCGGCGAAAGGCTGAATGGCCTTGCTCAACCACGGAATGGGTGCTATAGGGAATGGATCGTGCATCGTGAGAGGAGATCGAAATTGTCTACGAGCACGTTCTCGAGGGCGAACAATCTGGGGCGAAGGAGAGAGGTTTGCTCGCCTGCTGTGAGGAGCGAGCAATGCAGAATTTAGGTTGTGGAGTGTAGAGGTAGAAACTCGGTGTTGTGATGGCAGTCAGTACTAGTACGGAGGTACAAAAGTACAGTAGAAATGACGCTGATGCGCTAAAAAGAGGGACCAGCAGGACCAGTCACCGACCGCCCACCCGATCGTCGCAAGTAAACTGGAGCGAAGGTTAAATCCCAACAACTTCGGCTGTGTCACTGCTTTCGGACAAACTCTTTCAGGGGTCCATTAGTAAGGTTTGAGTATGGTTATGCTTATTTATCGCTTCAAAGAACAAGGTTAGGGCATGCTTTAAATAGGTAGCTTCGACACATCCCAAAGAGTGCAAATATTTATATTGACGTTGAATGATTCACTTGTTCAGATAATTCTTATCTTTGGCTAGTACTTGTACAGTCTGGGACAGCTTATTACAGCCTAGTGACCGATCAGCCTGCATTCACACGTGCTTGCTGGATAGGCTGCCACGTGAGTCGAGTTTTGGGATAGCATCACGCATCCTCAAATCTGCATGTGTTGGAACTTCCTTCGTTATATCAACGTGATCACTCATCACGAGCTGACCATCTTCCCTTGAAATATGATTGTTCTCTCATATCCCGCGTCATTTACGATATCCTGCGTGGTCTTCCTGGCTCTGAATGACCTAGAAGAGGCCTTTGATTCGTGGCCGAAGACTTCCAAGTCTGCTGGACTACCTACTAGTAGTGCCATGTCATTTGCCTTCGACGAGTTCAACCCGATGACATTTCGAGCCCGACTTGTTACGCATTGCTGTTTGTTTGGTCACTTAGCATTCTCCTATTTTTGTCTTGATTTCACGGCGGAAGCATTCAACATACCAGCAAGAGGCCGGCATCATCTTTCGTTCCAGCCTGATATATACCAACACCAAGACCTGCAAGAATTAGTGGGTCACAGCTGCCATGCGGTGTAAAGGCATTGCCAACGTTGTTAGTACCGATAGCTGCATTCAAACCGTACTGTTTAATGAGTTGTGGAATCTGAAGTGTACCTCGTACCCTCTCACCACTATCAGATCCCTCCTTTGGTCTTCCCATCATGAACAAATCAGATGTTGGAAGCCCCACAAAGGAGATTGGAAAGTCACCGATTTCTTTCCTCAAGTCCAACCACTCACTATCACTGAAAGGTGTGAGGCGAGTGCAATGACCGAGCACGACAGTTCTGGAGTCTGAAGTCCCTAGCGTTGAGGGCCATTGTTCTTTGCGTAACTGTTCAAGGACACAAGGTACCATACTTGACTCTTCGGAGTCCAGGTTATAATCAAGATGAAAATCCAAATTTAAGCGATGCTTTTGGGCTATCATTGTAGCCCACCGTATATTCTGTTTTTGATGCTCCTTCGTATCTTCGACATATGGGGTAGATCCAAATACTTCCACTCCGGCTTTTGCAGCAGCAGAGTTGAGGAGCTGAAGCATCTCCTCTCCTCCGTTTTTACCACTAAAGATAGGGTCTTGGGCAAAAACACATATCTGGATATAGCAAGTATCGCTGAATTGCTTCTTGAGAGCGAGTCCAGCATCCAGGCATTTCATTCCAACTGCTGGATCTACTTCCACGAAAGCTCTCATGTGTGTAACGCCGAATTTGACACTTTCTTCTATTAGCGCCTGGCCTCTTTCCATGAGGTCATCGTGTTCAAACCGAGCTTTTGCTTCGCCTATGGAAGAGTCAGAAAGATCTGAAGAAAACAGAACAAATAAAGAGCGTACTGTTCAAGGACTATGATAATTCCTGGAGGGTTTTGGACTTACTCGTGGACTTACTCGTAAGCTTCATAGCTTCAGCAAAATCGCCACGCTTGGTCTGCAGATCCGAATACTTGGGATGAGAGAGTAAGAAACATTTATCGAGATGAATATGAGGATGACAAAGACCAGGAGCTACAAATCGAGTTCCTACTGAATTTAAATCCTGGGTAGACTCAACAATGGATTGAATGTTTCCATCATGACAGCATATATCCCAGCGAGTATTAGGAGGCTTGTTGGCCATGTACACGCCATTTAGCCGTAGTATGGGTTTTATTTCTTGAGATCGCATTGTGATAGACTACAGGAATGAAGAAATCAAAATCAGGAAAGAATTATAGTAGATTTAACATTAAGGTGTCAGAAGAACGGAGTTGAAAGTATTCGAAGTGATATCAATATTTGGCGGGGTCATGGAAAAACTTCGGATGGAGTTCCACCTTCCAGGGACCTTCAATTATTAGCGAGTTACGGTACAGTAGCTTGAGAACAGAACTCAACAACACCAAGCTCCAGCTCTCGTCAATAGAGTCAACATAGCGCAATCATGGCAGATCCGCTATACGAACTGCTAATTCCTTATTTTGACAAGCCATCACCACGTCCACCACCCAGCTCGAATGACCCAACAACGAATACGTACCTCTCTCGCCTTACCACTCTCCCCCTCAACTCCCTCACCACCACAGAACCACAATCCCTCACTCAATCGACACACTCATTGCTCCTTTCTCTTCAAGCGCTCTCGAAACGATCGCATAAATCCATAATCGACTCTTCTACCCACCTCTCTACTCTAAGCACCACCCTACCAAGTCTAGCGCAATCCACAGCCTCTCTTCGAGATGCACTGCCCAAACTCGACGATGCAGCAATTAATTTCAGCGAGAACTATAACCTGCGTGCCGAAAATGACAATACCTTGCTAGAACGAAGGAGAAAAGCACTTCTCCTGTCCCGAAACATTGATCGCCTGTCCGACGTTCTAGACCTTCCCGCCCTCCTCTCCTCTGCGATATCCTCCTCTTCAAATACTACAGCACCAAATAATAATGCCTCGAATGCAACATTAAACTATGCCTCCGCTCTCGACCTCAATGCGCATATCAAGCGTCTCCATGGTCTATATCCCGACTCGCCCCTCATAACGAGCGTCCGTGTTCAAGCCGAAACTGCGATGCAGGATATGTGTACAAATCTGATTGCCAGTCTACGAGGGAACAGCTTGAAGCTCGCAAGTGCAATGAGGACTATAAGTTGGCTACGAAGAGTAGCACCAGAGTTGAATCCTACTCCCACGAATGCGCTCTCCGGTACCAGCACAATATCTGCAAATTCAAATAATACCCGAGAAGGTGCTTTAGGCTCACTCTTCCTCGTCTGTCGCCTCTCCAATCTCTCCCAAATGCTCTCAGCTCTCGATCCTCTTCGTGAACTCGCAGATCAAGAAACGGCGAAACTTCTAGCTCAAGGAAATCAACAAGGCCTGAAAGAAAAAAGCAAATGGGAAGGCGGTCAACAAACAGAACGCTATTTAAAACGGTACATTGAGATTTTCCGTGAACAAAGTTTTGCGGTGGTGAGCATGTACCGCTCCATCTTCCCACCACCAGCCGCGACACCCGAAGGGTTGAAGGGCGTCATCCCCGCAGCCGGAAAACAGGATCCTTTAGAACCTCTTCCTAGCGCTCTGGGGACATTTCCTCAGAGGTTGGTGGGGATGTTGGAGGAGACTTTACGGCAGTATTTGCCGAATGTTCGGGATCGAAGTTCGCGGGATAGTCTGTTGACGCAGGTTCTCTATTGTGCGGGGAGTTTGGGAAGGTTAGGAGGGGATTTTAGTATGATTCTTGCGTTCTTGGGAGAGGTTGGCGATGAGGAGGAGGATGAAGATGAGGAGTGGGCGGAGGTTATTAGGAAACATAGGGTTCTTGCCGGGAGGTTGGAGTTGATGGTTGGGTCGAAGGAGCATTAAGTGTGTGATGGGCTTTTGCATATTAGATTCTGGAGAAGAGAAGGTTATATATGGACCCGCCATCCGGTTTCTAGTAAATACACAGGAGATTCTGGAGAAGTGCCTAGTTGACCCATTCCAATACTTTTCTCCAGAGGGAACTTTCTTAGTGGTTACATTCTAGATACCCACCCACCTCCCACCTTCACATATCTCCCTCTGAAAACATTCTTTGCCATTGCCCTTCGGTCCTGTGTGGTGGATCGACCGCTTCTGATGTAAACTTACTGGTTGAGGGGTTAGGACGGGTGATTCGATCGATGGGGCTCCTATGTTATAATAGGGTGTGAGGTGAGGTGATATATGTGGGGTTTGGGATATGGAATTGGGGGATGGATGATGGGTGGGAGATGGAAGGGGAGAGAGAAATAATGGGAGGTTGGGAGATTGTGAGATTTTAAGGGGGTATGTATTACGGTTTTCATATACTGTACAACTATACGTTTGACATGATAGGTAGGTAGGTAGGTAGGCAAGTAGAGAAGTGTTTACGATATCTTGAAAGGGTGGGGAGATGAAGTTGATGGTTGATTATTGTATACCTAGCGTTATAGTGGTGAGCAAGGACTCTAATTATCAAATACAGTATTGAAATTTAAATACAGACTCGGATGTTAGTTCTAGATATCATACCTATAGGTACTGCTATATGTATATAAACCCCCATACGGTGGTACATGGCAAATACTCATGGACTCCTGGAGTGGACATCGTCCACATAGTGGTGGTGGTGGTGCTTTCCTGTCCCTCGGGCATGAGAGTTCGAATCGAGAAGTCGGACTCGAATGTCAGACTACTCTTCTCTAAAACGCGGGGTCTCTACGGGCTGGGGTGATATACTCCATGGAGTACGAGTAGGTAAGAAAGGAAGAGTGGATTAAAGGTTTTACTGTCGATCTTTTGGCTGTTCTCGAATATTGAATACCTGAATGAGGAATGAGGAAATGATGAATAATATCGAGGAGGGAGATGGCGCTGTATGTATGTATGACGTGAAAATGCTGCGTGGTGAGAGAAGAAATTACTAATGGTCGTATAACGGCTGAACTCCCTTCAACGAAGCGGTGACGCCAATCATTTCGGTCGTGTAGAACATTCTACAGTCTGCTTCTGAATCGGTGATTCTTCGACGTGATCTTTTTTTATGGTTGAAGGTAAATACTATTGTAAAAAGAAACTGTCTGGAAGAAGGTATTTGGTGGTGAGAAATTGAGAGTGTGTAAATGGATTTGGTGGCGATGATGTGGTGGGGTAGTTTGTATATCTGTTATATTTATTAGATAGGTACTGTTGTTGGGGAAGTGGTGTGTGGCGTGGAGTTTCAATTTATTGTTTGGGTTTACGCTGGATGACATCTTTTTCTGTGGGTTTTTAGTTATACACGGGATTACTTTCTCTGACACAGTAAGGTTCCTGGCCTACTTAAAATTTGTTGAGATGGGAGATATGGTGGGTGGTATTTGTTTGTTCACTTTGTCACTTCGGTGTGAAGGATATATGTTCTGTTTAGAAACGACAAATCACTAGGCCTTTGGGATCTGGAGTACCGTTGCTAGAGAATGGGGATATCATTTATTTCGGTCCCCCTTTTTTCCATCAAATAGTACAGTATATATAGGCTAGATTGATCCTGTGGGTACGTAATCATTGTTGAGGTGAGAAACTCGGAGAGGAAATTGCTAAACTGGGGAGTAGTTTGGAAGTAGGTGTTAATAAGGTATTGTACAAGGAAAGCTGAGGGCGTATTGTATCTATATACATCTTTTTGAAGGGATGTGAGATGAGTATGTACTAGAGTACATTATATGATTTATATTAGGAGCTCAGACTGTGTTAATTAGTTTTGAAACTCACAGAATGAAGAGAATACTAAAATTGCCAACAATGATGCCCCATACACCAAATTGCAGCGTTTCCTTCAGATACTCGAGAGAACACTATTACAAATCACACAACAACAAAGAGAGAACGACATCTGGATGGAACGCGTACCAAGACCCGGAGTATAGGTCTAAGGGAAGTTAGGGTAGATTCAGGAAGGTACAAGTATAAAATAAAGGTATAGCGTTAGGATAGGCTAAAGTAGAAGTAAGACGCAACGATTCTTTGCCGTTCCCTACCATTGATACCATTGATACCAGATGGTTTCATTACCAAGGTCGTTTTAAGCGCACGGAATTCTGCGAGTTGATCGGAGCGCTCAGCTAGTTCTGGGAATAATCCGAGTGGCGTATACCCTCGAAATTTATATGTCGAAGAGATTATGAATTTGTGCTACTGTCGAAAAGGAAATCACTGTCGGAAAAGGGGTGTTTTTTGGGCTGTTTGAGGGGTTTGCTTGATACTAGATAGGGAGGGGAAATTATGAAACGTTGTTTCTGTGTGAGTTACATGGGTTTGCAATTGGTGTAGATGTCTACTTACTATCAAAGCTGATGAGGGGCTGCATGGAAGATAGTCCTTTCACCACTTGTTCCGAGTAAACTGAATCCGACCCTCTTTCAAGTCATTTTGGCGCTTTTATTACTCCACACCTATGTCCATCAACGGTAAGATTTATTAAGCCTCTCCCCCTAAATTATATTGAGATTCCGATAGTAACCCCACATTAACTTCTGCAGACTGGTTTTTCGGGGCACTATCTTATTTAACCATGGAGAACAGAATGAAGCCAATTAAACACCCTATTTCCAAGAATCCCTGGATCAAATATGGATTGTGGTGGAGGCATGCGAGAAAGCCGAGTAGCTCTTAAGCTTTCTCTCATCTAGTGAATAGTCTAGGACAGATGATTGAGAAGTTTGAAAGCTATGGATGGACATGAGTTAAGATTGAGAAATTTCTGCCACTGATTGCTTCGTCTCACTGTCGAATACTGGTTTACTGTCGAAAGGTAATTAAGTCCGGTTTCGGACCGGGTTCTGGAAACTTCCTTCAGTTACAGAAAACCAGGGTTATGTCTTTCGTTCCATAAATTTGAATGGTCCATTCTTCGTTGTAAGAACAGGAGTTGGAACCTGAAGCTTTTGGCTAAATCAGGTGTGTATGAGAGGTATTCTATTGGTGTTGTGTCGCAATACGCGAGCTTCGCATAGCGCCGTGATATGGTGAGTGGATTCCCACATTGATTACTTGACTCCCAACAATTGTTACCCTTTGTTCTTCTCTTCTCCTCTGCCGTTATACGGTTAATGGAATTTCTCGTTGTAGTATTCTTTTGACCAGGATGTTTTTACTCGCGTAATTTGCACTGTTTAATTTACTTCTTCGCTGCTGTAGTGTAACGCTAGAGTCCCTGACTTTTGAGGAGGTTGTAGATCTTGAACTATGAATGTGCAGTTTTTACGAGAGAACAAGGCTGAAAAAGGGAGATAGATCTGGGTTTAAGGCGTTGAATACTGTGGTGGTCGCTCCAATGATGAAGCCTGGAGAAAGGTTTTACAGTATGAGTGAGTTTTTATTTACATCTGAACATGATAAAAATTTTTGGAGAAAGGGTTTCTTAAGGTCTGAGATTATTTAGATAGGAATATGATGAAATTTAATGGGCTAATCAAGACGATGTTAGGTTACTGTTACATCATGCCAGATATTCTGTTATGGGGACGAAAAACAAAAGTCATAATCTAGGAATATGATACCCGCGCGGTTCGCTTCAGTGCTCAACCCCACATACCTCATAGCTCCCATGTTGTACTCAACCAAGACGGTATTGTAAGAAAACGGATTCAAACCTGCCTGAGAGGCTGAGATTCCTCCTACCTTACAACTTCTGAGAGATTGTGTTCAGGATTGTGAGTATTGATTGGATATCAGCTTCCCTTATGCAGAACCCGAGGAAGCACCGCATAAGCGCTGGCCCAGGTCGGTTGGCTACATAAACGCCAACGCGCTTTCAATCTAATGTTTCGCGATGAATTGAATGGTGAGTGCTGGGGTACCGGTAGGATCTGCTTCAAGCTCAAGCGCGATTTGAAAGTACTTCAGCTACGATGTGTCGAGCTTCTACGTATAAGAAGACTTTGGAGGCATCAAGCTGTTTTTTCCTCGTTCGTGTCTTGCGTCTGTATTTCTTGAGTCCTTCTCAATCGTTCTTTTTCCTTGTCGTTTTATCCTTTTCCTTATGTCAAATTAGCGTCTATTTCTGTACTTTTCATTTGGAATTTTGTTTTATTCTTTTGAATTAATATCCCATCGTTTTCCTGACCGGTTCAGGACCAATTTATAATGCCTAAATTTTCCAAAGGTATATCATTCGTCAAGAACTTAAATAGAGGAGTGAACTAATCATTCTACATAGATGGAGCGAAGAAGATTGGCGGTCTTGTCATTGCCTCTATCGGACTTGCAGTCATCCTTTTCTATGCTCTGGTGCTTGCAGGCTGTACCAGTGGTTCTCCTGGAATGTCGAATTTGTTCCTCGTGAAGCTCCATAAAGCAGGCGGTAAACTTCTGACTGGAACTGCTGGCAACGCTACAGCTGGTAATGGCACGTTGACGGATCTAGCGGCCAACGTGACAATCCGGATTGGCTATTTCGGTTAGTCCATCCATGTTTTAATGGCGACTTACGATGCTAATAAATTACCCTCAGGCATGTGTACCAGTATCGGTTCTGGAAGTTTGAACTGCTCTGGTACTTATAGCCATGACGGCACTCAAATCTCGACCTCCTTCCTTCCACAAAACGATTTCAGTACCGTAACACTCTTTAACTTGGCCAGCCACATTCAATCCAAAGTTTTCGTCTTCATGCTTGCTGTTTCGGCCGTCATATTTCTGTCTTCATTCGTCGTTCTCATTGCTCTCCAGTTCGATATCATGCGCAACAGTTCTTCCTCGGCTGCTTACAAGCGTCGTTTCTTTCTGAAGAAAGGGTTCAAGAATTTGGTCTGGATCAGTGTTGGACTGAATATTGCAGTCTCGGCTGGTGCTCAACAGGCTGCAGAAGCATTGCAGTGGCTTTCGGATGTGAGAAATGGTGAGCTGCTCATCACAAGTGGTGCAACTCTGCTAGGATTGCAGTGGGCGATTGTTGCATTTTCCATGATCTTTGCATTGGGAAGTCGCTTGATTTACAATCAGAAGCCGGCGCAGACGATTGAACAGAATTTTGAGACGAAGGACGGCGTTATGGCTTTTTGAAGGAACAATTATGTGTACGAGTATTTGTGAATTTGGTGTTGACAGCACGGTAGGAGGTGGGGCTCGTGGTGGGGTTTTCAAGTGCCGGCAGAATGCCCTGAATCTGAAGATTGCCCATCCACATAAATTTATTACGTTTCGACCACGAGCTCCTTCCTCTTCTTCAATACATGAAGTATATCTTCAAATTCCAGTGGATGTGATGATGGCCCAGCTCTCTGCTGCTAATCTTTACGATTGAGTTTGAGTATTTCTTCACCATCTGGTCAAGAAATTGGATCTGGCACCGTTGTTTCAACTTCGTCCGAGCCCTCAGGCTGCGAATTTCTGTACCAAACTGTTGCGACGCGGCTCTCAGAGATACCGAGGAAAGCTGCTGATCCCAAGCTTGACGAGCTCCGCTTGATGTGCTGTAAGGTAGAAATCCAGGTGGAGGTCGCAATTTTCTCTTCTTTAATCATCCATTAGGTTTTTCTCCCAGTACTCCGTATTCCAGTCTCCATTCCTTCCATAAACTATATTTGCTAACCTGACAATGCTGGTGCGCGCGCTACCTTCTACCAAGCGAGACATCTTCCGCATTGTTTCTGTGTTTCTTGCAACTGTATTTATAATTCGAGTCGTCATTCTTCCTATATCCCCATCGTTCTATTCTGCCGACCCTTATTGGGCAGATGTAGTAAATTACCTTGATGTCTATGATTTCGAACCAGCAGATTCCGAGGCAATCCGAAAAGTATGTCAATCGACGGAATGGAACGAGAAGTTTGTCTTCACATGCGACAAGTCTGCAGGTGGTGTGGGAAATCTGCGAAACTCGATATTGAATTGTGTTAGATACGCTATTCATGCTGGAGCAGGTCTGGTAATTCCACGACTACTCAAGCGAGATTCAAAAGACATCGCCGCCATGTATACTGCGGATACAGTCGAGTTTGACCGTATTTTCGATTGACCACACTTTGTTGAGTCCTTGAGGAGATCTTGTCCGCAGCTCAGAGCTTACAACACTTCAGATGATATTCCTTCGAATTTCCCCAATGATTATCTTCTCCCACTGGAACCGGAAAAGGATCTGGTGGGATTCATACCGCGTAATGGCTCGTGGCAGACAGAGGCATGGAGGGGTCTTCTCTATAATTTCTATAATTGGCTTAATGACAGAGCGTTACCGGGAAAAGAGGAGGAAGGACCAATCAATAGCACTACCGACTATGTAGTGGTAGCCCTAGGACGAACATATGTAATGTTACCAGATTCTTTCCCAATGCACCTTTTCTAAAATGCTACAATAGTTGCAGTATTCAATTTACACCAGCGGAGAGGAGTTCGCCTTGAACTTCGGCAAGATCCTCAAGTTTAGATCCGATGCTCGAATTCTCGCGACAGTAGTACTCAAAGCCTCGTACGGAGGTATGGCATACATACTGATATACGGAATAATGTTCTGAGTAACGCATTCTACGGCATTCATCTGAGGACGGAGAAGGATTCGCAACAGGGCTGGCCTCTCCATAAATTTGCTTATTCTCGATACAAAAAACAAGCGGAATACTACCTCGGACTAGTCCGTTCGTCCAACACATCTGTTATTTATCTCGCTTCCGGGGATTCCAAAGAAGTTGAAAGATTCTCCGACGATGCCGCCGCACACACATTAACTGTCACGACAAAATTTGATCTCTTGACTGGGAAAGATCTGCTGCTACTTCAAAATATGGCATTTGATCAGCAAGCTTTAGTTGACTACCTGGTTTTGTTGAAGTCGTCTGCTTTTGCTGGGGTAGCCCATTCGAGTTTTGCTTGGAACATTGCATTGTTTCGACACCAGTTTGCCAAGCAAAGAGATAATTTGAATGGCCCTCAATTGTGCCCTGATGAGTTGAGTCAAATTTTCGGGGTCCCGAATATGTACCCAGGATACGCGCCCTGTTTGTGGCCTTGAGACCGACTTTTGGTGGAAGGATGTTGCCTTGAAGCCGACACCGGTTGGCTTGGTCTCTACGTATAAAGATTGCCACATCCCTTTTCCTAAAAATTCCACGCAACGAATATGGAATAGCTTTGCTTCAACACCTCTAGGAATCCGTATCCTCGTCAAATCTCCTCCAGCCGTCAATCAGTGACGCGCAGCCCAAGTCAACAGCCCCATCTTGCAAACCTCTTGAATCAAGACTACTCAGAAACAGACGTCTTCGGTCACCTGCAGTATACTCTACGACGAAGAAAAGGCCAAGAGTGTTGGGGGAATCCTCTGTCGGAAACTTCGCGATGGCGAGAACGGAAATGGGATGGTGAGGGAGATGGAGGGGTCCTTTATATGCATTTGTGAGGGGCAATGTGTCAGGTACCAAACAGGGCAATGTATATTAGTGTTAAGGTCATCAGACTTTATGATCATTATGAGGTTGGGAAGGGGGTGAGGGTCAAGATCGAGAGTTTGCCAGAATGGAGTGGATGTTCACTTTGATGACATTCTAGTAAGGATTTACTTTATTTGTTTTTGTCTGAGAAGGGGTTCAATTTGATCGGGGGCAGTATTCTTAAGGATATTCTGAAGGATATAACTGAGATTATCGTGAGGTCGTTTTAGGTGCAAAAAACATTTTGTAAAAAGATTTACGGATATTTCCGAAGTATACTTATAGAATGTATCGTTATATTGAGGGTTTTATGTACTTGAACTCTTTTGTGAGTCTAAACTGTATGAATAATTAACTAAGGATAGGTAGTGATCGAGTACAGTAATGGGTCAGCTGATATATACAGTACAAAATGTCTGTAGACCCCTGAAGCAGTATTGTACAGGGAAGGTATTTTTAGCGACCAAAATGCAACCTCAACCCATAATGCGTTCCCGATAAAAACGACACATTTTGAACAACCAACAAAACTATAACCCATTTTCAAGAAGCTCCGTTTGTAATGTTTCAATCTTTTCCGAGTCTCTCTCGTCTGTCAAATTGCATTACAGTATATTCTGAGTTTGAATTGAAAGAGTTTCTGCCCAACGATAGAAAATCTTTTCAGAAGTCTCTAGAAGAGTATGTTTCACGAACGCCACAATCCAACAGTACCATAATCATTGGAACGCGAGAGGGTCTTGGCTTCAGCCCCAGCTGAGCTTGCTTCTTCTTGTGGGATCTTGCTTCACTCTTTTTGAAATACATATGATGCTCTTTCTAAACGCCTCTGATAATCGGTGACCGCGTCGTCTTTTCTATTGCTGTTGTCACATGCATATTTTGACTTCCTAAAATGTCTTCTAATAACATCAGTGGGATGTTCAAAACCCTGAAGACTCAGGTGAAGACGGAGGTTGGAAAACTCGTGCAACCACGTCCCCAGCAGCCATTAAACACAGGAGGACCTCAGCAACAGCGACCACCGCAGCCATATGGTCAACAGCAGCAGCAGTATCCTTCGGGGCCTAATTATAATGCTGGAAATCAGCCGCAACAGAGTCAACATTACGCTCAGGTGCAATATCAAACCCAACCTCAACAACAGCAACCTCAAAATGTTCAATATGTCACGTCACCCCAGATACCACAGCAGTATCCCCAATTGGCAAAAGGCCAAGTCTATTCTTCCACGCCACAACCGCAAATGCAAAGCCAATTCCAGGCCCCCCTTTCCTCGCAGCCGAGAAACTCCCAGACCCAGCTCCAGCAATATGCGCCTACCCCACAGGTTCACAATCCCCAGACTATGACTTTCCCACAGCAGACGCAAACTCAATTTCAACCCCAATATCAAATCCAGCAACACATGCAAGTAGGACATAGCCTGCAAATATCACCTTCGTCTCCTGTGTCTCTGAACCAAAGCCCTTCTCAATTTCAACCCTTTGCGCCACAATTTCACCAAAACACACAAGCTCATCAGCAACCCCTTGCTACTGGTTCTCCTGGGCTTTCTCACATGCAGGAACAAGAAAAGAGACAATCCCAAGCTTACAATCAGCCTCAAAATATTCATACTCAAGCAGTAACTCCGCAGCCCTACCAAAATGTCTCACCAGCTCTCTTGCAACACACCCCTCCCCAAAGTCAAATGCAGTCTCCTGTTGCATCACTTGCTCGACTTTCTCTATATAACCAGTCTCCCGTACAACAGCAAACATCAAATGTGACAAGCCATCAAAGCTATCAACCTATGCCCCCTATGGGCCCACCTCCACCACCCTTAGTTCAAAGCTCTCCACCCGCGCAGCAGTTTAACCAAGCCCAAGTACCACAGCATCATCAGCAGTATGCGGGTCAAGCTTTACCGGCTACAACAATATCACATACACAACAACAGGCTCATTTACAATCTGCACCCCAACAACAAATCTATAATTCAATTCCTTCCACTGGGTCACCCGCACCTCAGCTCAATCAATACCAGCCAATAACACAGCAGTATGCTCAGTCACAAGTCCAATCTCAAACCCATACACCTTCTCCAACCCAAATTGCTTCCCAACCACATCGCCAAAGCCAGCAGTACACGTCTTCTATGCAAACACCTGCCCAAATTCAAGCCCAGCCATTGCAATACACTGTATCTCCCGGTCAAATTCAGTCTCAACCACAGGTACAGCCTCAGTATATCACCACAAGCGCGCAAAATTATCAGGCTACTCCTGTAAATATGCAAAATACCTACTCTTTCCCAGGGCAGACCTTGTCACCAATAGTGCAACATCAACAGAATACTCCTTCACCAACCCAGCAACTACTTTCCCAGAGCTCTTCGCCACAATCACAATTCCATAGCCAAGTCCGGAACTCGATTCGAAGAAAGCCACATCCTAGCCAATCCCCCAAAAAAACTCAGGCCTCGCAAACTGTGCCTCAAACAACTGACTTGCCCCATGCAACTATTCAGAGTCAAATCCAACCAACTGTGGTAGAAAATCAAGCTGGAACTGAGAGCAATATCATTCTTACTCAAGCGCATGTCACCTCTCCTCGAGATGATTCCTCCGGTTACCATTCTCAAATTCAGGGGGGTACGCCACCTACTCAAGCACGACTTACCTCGCCCCCAAATGATCCTTCACTGCATTTATTCCACAAACAAGAACCAGTTGAGTTGTCAGCTCAACCTGAACAACAAGTTCGAAATGCTGTTGTAGAAATCACTGCGGGTTCTGAGTCTCAGAATGTGATAGCTGCTATGGATCCACCTCAAATCGAGAGCGAATTCAGACCTATTGAAACGGTTGCTCCGAAACCAATACATCCGCCAGCGCCGATTGAGCAATATGTACCCTCGTCACCACCCCAGATATCATCGAAGGAAAGCGTGGAGGCTCATACAGATGCTGTCATAAATCTTGCAAATTCTGGTAGTCCTCCTATCTCGACGCAGGTTGTCAAGCAACAAGCGGATGCAAAGCCACCAGGTGATGTTGAAGCTCGGATAATGCGTGAGCCTGTTGCTATCCAGCCTCAAATACAACCCATAAATACCGATTTGGCAGCCAATCTAGGAGGATCACCTGTGCAGACACCACCAACACAATTGCCGAAACAGGAGACGCCGAAGCCTCTTCCTCACTATCAGGCATTCTCGCCATCTTCGCAGCTTCAATCCTTGCCACTAAGCGAAAGCATGCCCACCCAGTTTCAGGGGCCAGATGCTCATCCCATCCACCCTGTAGGACAGCATCAATACCAGCCATATTCGCCACTTGCTATTGCACAGCCATCTGATTACCGAGGCTCCATCCCACAATACCGGCCTCAACCTCAAGCCCACCCTCAACCTCAACCCACAAATGAGTACCAAAATTACGACCCATATTCAACAAAAGAAAATAGAGCGCCTATTCCACCACCTGGACCTCCGCCTCTCCATTTACAGAATCAAACTCCACCTCCAGGGTTTGCGCGCCAAGAAGCAGAGCCGCAAACGCAAGTCCAAGAGATAAATCAAGCCCGGAGGTTCTCTCAATCACGGGAGATTCCACATACGGTATACCTGACGCAACATGAATCAAAATTACCACCGTGTTCAGGCAAGAAAGAGGTTCTAACAAAGTACACCAAGTTCTATGTGCCAATAAATAGTCTAGTCCCGAGATTGGACCCTTCAGTTCAAGAGCTATCCCATGCAATTTGCGAGACATGCTACCTAACTCAATTCTCGCCTATACCAAGCTTTGCGACTGCTTTAGAATTGTACAACTCGCCAGATATTGCCAAACCCGAAAGCCAAGACGTTCCTGTTCCCTCCTCCAGAGCTATGTGCCAGTTTGGTCTCAACCCTTCATTACTAGGAACGTTCCGTGATCACTGCCTACCTCAAAACAGTCTCTCTGCTTTTATCTCTTCCATTGGAACTCTCAACTCGCTACCGCAATGTCCAGGGAATGACCCTATGGACGGTGGTGAGTATTACACAACTCTCGCAATCCCCGGTAGCTCTTTCTGCGTCAAATGCTTTGACAGCTATATAAAACCGTCATCGTTCGGCTCTCACTTTACAATGAAGCTCAATGGACCGGGCCAAAAATGGACTTGTGATAATGGAAGGAGCCCTGGATTTCCTTCTCGGCTGCTTGAGGCTCTTTTGAATAATCCGATACCAGACTTCGATTCTCTCACCCACGCGCTAAATGGATGCCTTCAAGCATTGCCTTGTGCTGGGATAGGGACACAGATAAACGCTGGCCCAGGGGGGCGGGTTATTGTCTACTCTATCCCCGGAGCTGATATTAATATTTGCTCGGAGTGTTTTTATAGCCGAGTTAAGATGACCTTGATGGAGCAACACTTCAAGTTAGCCGAACATGACTCCACAACTAGTTCTGTCACTTGTGATCTCGCTTCCGGTGTTTCCAAATTTCTTTTCATGATTGCACTCCAAGCCAATGATCTACAAATATGGCAACAAGGTCTTCACAAATTTAACCGACTTCCGAAATGTGAAGGCGTGAAAGGTGTCGGTGAAGAGATTATCGAGCAACAGAATACTGAGCTTGGAGAAGACGCAAAATGGTATCATATCACAGAATATCCAAACATCGAAGCCTGTCCCTCTTGTTTTCACGCTATCATTTCCCCACTAGGGGCATCTCATCTCTTCAACCCCATCATCCGCCAATTACGCGCTAGCATGGTACGAACATGTAACTTCTCCATCGGAAACGAAGGAATCATCTCCTCCTCTCCAGACGACTTCCCCAACACCCTCGAATTCCGTGGCTTCATTCTGCGACACCTCCTAGAGGTAGCCTGGGAATCCAACCACCAAGACTTCGCCCCTTTCCTCTCAATCGCCAAGTCTCTAAGCGAGTGCGCACCGCCATGTGGCTCCAACGCACGCGGATACAAAAGTCCGAATGGGCGACGTTGGTTCGGACATGTTGCCACGAATGCAAGTGATGATGACGATACCACGATTGTGATGTGTCAAGAATGTTTTGAAACACGTGTTAAAGATACTTGTCTTGAACCGTTTCTTGGTACGGACTTAACGGATCAGGTTTACGCTGGGGATACGCAGAACCAGAAGGAAGCGTTTTGTGGACCGTTCTCGAAGGTTTCTAAGCAGGCGTTGAACAAGGCGAGAGAGTAGGGCGATTGGAGGGTTTTTGCGAGAGATTGGAATAGGAGGCAAAGGGTTAGGGATGAGACGTTGCCAATGATTAATTTATTAAGGGCGGAGTTTGAGAATCAGAACATGTTGAAGATGACGGGTTTGTATTTTCTCAGACTCGATACGATGATTCTACTAATCTTTCTTTCTTGTAGCTATGCAAAGTGCTACGTTGGTTCGGGGTGGAGCGAGTATCTTTGAGATTGTGGGTACTGATGGATACGATCATGGAAACTCGGTTGTATGTTCTCTCAGTCCTTCCTGAACACATGCTGTATTACTGACAAGAGTGAACAGGTTGGATTCGGCTTTCAATCCTCAGCTGGCGTAGACGCTGCGATGTGGCAAAGGGTACGTGCTTTCCTTCCACCGATTTTGTTTATGAGTGACGGCAGTAATAACTAACTTATTGCCCAATACAGGATGCTGATAATACGAAATGGGGCGATGCGTCGCATGTGATGAAGATTGCCATGTTGGAAGAACAATGGAAGGAAGTCGAGTAGTAAATTTTTAGACATAATGACAAAACCCAATCAATATCAATGTTGTCGAAGAAGCTCTCGCGTCTGATGTTAGCTTCTGTTATAAGACTGTCTCCCGTACAATAGAACATTCGAGTCACTTTACAGTGAATGCGACAAATATCTAGTGTGCTCTTCTGGGGATGGATTCAAAGTTAATAAATAGGACATGGAGTGTGATCAGCTTCTCAATGCCATTGTTTCATCCAGTTTATTGCAGTACTTTTACTGTGGGGAGGTTGCATTATATTCCCATTGTTTTCGTCGGGTCACAGTAGATGAGGTGTTATAACTCATCGTGAGTCTATGCTCACTTCTCAGGGTCCACTTATGAAGCGATATATATACTGATTAGACTCCAGAATATAATCCACCAAAGATCTTTGAAGTACTTGCTGGAAGACTTCTCACATTGAATTCGTATCACGTGGAAGCTACAGTACTGTGGCGCCCTTTAACGGTGACGTACGTTCGACAGAAAAAACAAAACACCCAACCATGGACCTAAACGACCATCTCGATATCCTTGGGCAACAACCGGGACTAAATGTATACACACAAATATGCTCCTGTTACGCAGTACCCGATGCCTCTTCATACTCGGCGATAGTCAAAATCCTAGAAAATGGACTCTCGAGACTATCAAATGGCTTTCCATGGATCGCAGGCCAAGTCGTTAATGAAGGCGCCAGCAAAGGAAACACAGGAATATTCAAATTCGCACCACTAGAGAAGACACCTCATCTAGTGGTGAAAGACCTCCGAGATGACCCTTCAGCACCAACGATGGATAGCCTTCGAGAGGCCCATTTTCCTTTCCGTATGTTGGACGAAAGTATCATTGCACCAAGAAATACAATTCCTGGAAATGGTGGAGCAGATCTATCGGATTCTCCGGTATTGATAGTACAGGTTACTTTCATCGTTGGTGGTTTGATTCTCACTTTCCTCGGACAACACCAGACGATGGACGGGACTGGTCAGGGAGAAGTTATTCGCTTGTTTTCGAAGGCTTGTCTTGGAGAGTCTTTTAGCAGCGAAGAATTATCAACTGGAAATATGCCGCGAGCGAATATTACCCCTTTGCTCAATGATGAGTACAAGCCAGGGTCCGAAATTGAACAGTTTCTGACGAAACCAAGTCCAGCCGCAGATGCACCACCTCCGAAATGCAGTTGGACATACTTCTCTTTTGAAGATGCAGCACTCAAGGCTATCAAATCGCTCGCTACAGCGAGTCTCACCTCAGGATTCGTCTCGACGGACGATGCACTCAGCGCTTTCATTTGGAAATCCGTCGCTCGCGCTCGTCTGCATAGACTCGATCCCTCAGCAATATCGACATTCGCTCGCGCTGTGAATGTACGGAGCCATCTGGGTATACCTCAATCATATCCGGGACTCCTCCAAAGTATGGTAAACTCTACCTATACAGCTCAAGAACTCGTCAACGACACATTAGGAAGTGTAGCTTCTAGACTCCGCTCTGCCTTAGATCCAAAAACATCAGACCTAGCATACAAAACCCGTGCTCTGGCGACATTCCTCAACCGAAGTCCAGATAAAAATATTGTCTCTTTCACAGCGATGGCTGACCCGTCGACAGGCATTATGCTTAGCTCTTGGGCGAAGTTGGATAGCTATGATTTGGACTTTAATTTGGGATTGGGACCACCGGAATCGGCGAGAAGGTCGCATTTCTTCCCCGTGGAGAGTTTGATGTATCTGTTGCCTAGAAGGGCGGATGGCGAGATTTCGGTTGGGATGTGTTTGAGGGATGACGATATGGTGAGGTTGAAGAATGATGAGATGTTTACGAAGTATGGAAAAATTATTGAGTAGACCAATTCTAGAGGTTGTAAGAGAAAGAGATAACGGCATCAAAGTCAAGACAGGTTTCACTCCATAACTGGTACGCTTGAAATTGCGAATAGGTAGAAGTGTGCATGGATGGCCGAGGAGAATTACAAGCTCATGTTTATATCACGTGTCGTGCAATGATTAGGTAGTGCGCAATCTCATTTGATTGGTGGTTCTTTTGCTTTTTTATTTCTTTCTCGCTTGTAGAAAATCGATCGTAATTTCAACATTCCAGTTGACTCAGATTAGTCAACATTGAACACGTCCCCAAATCGCGTCTCGTTAGAAAAGGTACGGTAGCAAACACCTCCCAACTAACACTATTTGCGACTAGAATGGAGAAGAATAAGTCCGAAAAGAAAAAGACCCCGCAAGATCCCTCCAAGGCAATAAATCGCAGAAAGAGGATAAATCAGGAACGCGTCATTGCCGAGGAGAAATACCGCCGCGACAAGGAAATTTGAAGCACCCGCATATTTCCAGACTGGTTCTGGCGTATCTTCAAACTTCCTGGCTTTAACGGACTTGTTAACCCAGATGCCTATGATGAAGATAGTTCGGAGCTTGACGAGCCCTTACCAGAACCGAAACTAGATGACGAAGAGGAAGAGGAAGAGGAAGAAAACATCGACGACCACGAGTATCATTATGAGCAAAAATCAGATTGGGGAAATGACTCCAAGGCTGCACACTACGTTTCTATGCAACGCGCACGCCATGATCGAAAACGAGAACTCCGACGAGAACGTATTGAGCGGCAAGATATGGCAGCTCGCTGTATCAGGAACGAGAAAGAGAAGGAAACCGTGGTACGAACCGCTTATGCTGGATGTAAGAAAGCCCGCAGGATTGCGCAGAGAGAAAGGAGGATTGTGGTGTTAGATTCGATCGAGGGCCGAAAGTTTGCGCTGTTCTCTTCGTGTCATGCTGAAATATGGAGTTCAAACATTTGGGATCGGGGCCCGAATTGGGTCTCGTTTAGCTCTGTAGATACGTCGAAGACTCTACTAGCCCGACGAAGGACTAATGGGAATGTAAAATACGAAAAGGGCCCACTGGTTCAAAGCCGTATTCAACTAGGTCGGAACCTGTATCACGTCAGCACCTTTCCTCTTCCCAGTCGCGCGAGCACCAAGATTGTCAAGGCTAAGTGTGGTAAATCCAACGTACAATTTGAGTTCTTTGTGAATGGATACATCAAAATGAGGATTCCTCGGGAGATCATATTGGAGAGTCTAGATAAGAAGCCAAATTTGCCTGTAGATCTTGAGTTTTCTGGCATCAGGTGTCTGAAGACGGTAGAGGAAGTAGTGGCTCAAATGCGTCCTTCATCGCCCCGAGAATCATTCTTTGATAGAGCTCACTTTATGGGTTCGTGGGGTGGATTTTAAGAGTCAGATAATTGGAGAAGTGTTAAGATTATGCTGAATCATCATGGGCATCGTATTTGTCTTTCGCGTTCGCCGGTTAGTTTATTTAAATATGAGCACTATGGCACCCTTCAATATTTCAATTGCTGATAGTATTCATATTGTAGTCTCGTATTCATGTACTGGCCGTTTTCCCTCCTCAGGCTAAAGGAGGAACCGAAATCTCGATGTCAACAACGAAAACTTCCGCCCCAAAATTCATACAACGCCACAACACTCAAAGCTCATCATCTCTTACAGAAGCCTCAATAAACTAGCACTCCTGTTTTACTTCTTGCCAGACAATCCTACAAGTCGAAGGTGCTCCGGTGCTGTTCTCTTTTCTGCTCTTTCCTCTGCGGCTTTCTTTTCCGCTCTCTCTGCTTCTGCTTTTTCTTTTGCGCGTTGTGCTCTCTTATCTTGCAAAATGCTTCGCGTAGTTCCTCCATCTGTATTTCCCAGCACCATACTCGAATTTTCTCCTGCCTTATTACCAATGTAGAAATGGCCCTGGTCTGATGCTGGGACAACGCCTGGCCCGTAATAATTACCCGGCATCAACTCTGCATCACCTGTCGATACATTTTTCAAAAATACATGCTTGCCCTGCGATTTTCTGCCGCTTGCTTGTTGTGCCAGGATTTCTCTCTCAATCGAGTTTGGATCACACTCCTCAGATGATGTTTTGATATTGGTTTCTGAAGGATCAGTGATGGTGAAATCCATGTCATTGTTTCCTTCTGCAATAATCTGGGACCGAACAGTCTTGAGGGGACCTCGACGTCTATTTTGAGGGACTTTCTCCCTTGCGGAAATAATAGGGGAAGGAAGAGATGCGGTGTACAGCTCGTCAATACTCCATGTGCAGAATGAGGCGTTCGTATCATCATAGATTTATGCATGTCTTCTGCAGATATGCGTGGTGCTCGCCAAGATCCTTCTTATGTCAATGAGGCTCTGTGAAATTACTCCGATTTCGGCCGGCCACCGATTTCGCAGTTCTTCTTGTGTAATTGGCGTGTCGATGGACAATGATGTACCCCATTGGCTGAGGCGACTTCTCATCAACCTCACTTTCGTAATCGAAAGCTGCATTTCCTTTGCCGAGTTTTTGCCTTGCTCGAGATACTCAAAAATCTCAATGCAGGTTTTGAAGAGTGAAGCGAGCGCAAGGCCGGATAGCGCCAGTCCCGCTACCTCTGCCATGATCAACAATTAGATTAGATTCAATTACACTTGATGGAGAGGAAGTGTTGGCAGTGAGTTTCAGAAACTTTTTCTTCAAGTCTACGTCGATAGCTGGAACAGAATTGAAGTAGAGAGGCTATGAGGCAGTGCCCGCAGTATTGTTATACAACATATGCATGACGATAACCGAAAGCGAATCAGATGCCCTCAAATTTCGATAAAGAATCATCTTTAGGTAGCATCATTCGATATATGTGTATCGGGGGAGCGGATTCTCATTAGCTGCGGGAGTGGCTGTGTTACGAATCGCCCAGTAGCTTCTATAGAGAACATTTAAAGCTAGGTGGAGACTCTTTCCGACACCTGGCCATCCCCCCAACATTTTCCATCCAATTCCTCAGAGTCTGATATTGAAGAAAGGGCACCAAACCAGAGATCAGAATCATCGAGTTACCAATACAATCACAATCAATATCAGAGTAATGTTCACATTTACGCGAGTAATACTAAAGTGACTGCTTCCGCAGACCCAAATTTTACTACCGCCACGCAAGGCTCTACCTTCGCTGGCAACAAGACCGACGGAGATAGTACTGCTCTGATAGGCACAGTATGTGAGTAAAGTTGCATACTAGTTACAGTTATATCTCCACAGCTACTGTATGATACGACTGAATATAGTACGACGCATGAACGTTGAACTGATACATCCTTGACAGCAGACACATCGACTACTCAAATATACGCCCCACCTGTTAAATCATATTCCGTACCCCAAGCTGCAGCACAAGAATCCCCATCTCTTACTGCAGGGTTCTCGACGGGCCTTTGTCAGGAGCGCAGGTCAATCTTGGAGACCTTTACCACACATCAAGAGACGGTGGAATTTTCTCGCGGAGGGACGACAATCGAAGCCACAGAAGAAATAGCGGAGGCCGAGGAAGTAGAGGACGCACTTGTTGGAATGGCAGGGTATCTCAGTCAAAATCACTCATATCGTGGGACTGGTGCTAAGCCAAACGGACGTATCTCTATTTGCCATAGGACAGAACCCATATCATTAACAAACGATCACGCCTTCATGGAACCAGGAACTATAATCACAATTTCTCAAGAGGAAGAAGGAAATATTTCTGGTCGTTCTATGATCATAATGGTTAAGACGACTGAGGGTCTCTTTGAATGCCTGTCCCATTCCGATATGAGTAAACGGCTCCCCCCACTAATTCCAATAGCGCATGTACCAGTCCATGTTAAGGGAAACGCTCCTGAGGATCGAAAACCTGATTACAAAGCTTACATCAGCATTGTTCTGGATTCAGAAAACTCGACTTTACGTAAAAACAGTCTCATTAACTGTCAACACGTGTGGACCGTTGGGCGTGGGGTGCGGTTCAGCGTGGAAGGCGAGGTTGAGAACTTCAAAGACCTTCTAGCCGCTTTTGGGAATATCCAGAAGAAACTCTATAAGGAAATTAGACAGCAGTTTGGCGTTGAGGATTAGGAGTCGCTTACTTGTGAAAGATATAAATGTTAAGTAATCTACGCCTTACATTTCCCATGATACTATTTGAGCAAACAGACTCTATCGCTGTTTTCCCCACCTGAAACAATAATACATGATTTTGTTAGTAATAGATAGAGTATAATAGCGTGTAATACTAAGTCTAGTCCGAGCCCCTTCTCTTTCCGCCGTCACTTATTATAATTCCAGCGCTAATATATTCTTCTAATATGTTTCAATATTAATTAGACCATATAATTAACTTCGAAGGCTATATTATAAGTTTAACCTCTTTCTATAACAATTTATATATAAGGGAAGCGACCCGAGCCGTCTAGCCTCTTTACACTCGCTATTCCTAGTAGGAGCACAGGAGTCTATAACGTAATAATAGCCGCGAAGCGTAATAGGAAGACGTACTAACTATTAGACCCATACTTTTAGTACAAACTTTAAGAATATAAGATTTTAAAAAATCTTTAAACCCTCTTATAATACCTAATTATATATACCCTCGATATATTATAGTATTTATAGTACTATAGCGTTAGCTATAAACAATTTTATTCCAGTTATCCCTTAAAACACCCCTTCCCTTCGGGCTCCCTTTATATAAAAAAAGGGTCGAATCTTAACTTTCTCGCTTATTAGTTCCGGGCCGGTCGGAATAATACCTATGCGCGCTACAGGGCTTAGTCCGACTATTAGGAGCCTAGAATAGAACACTTTTACTAGCGTTTCAAGATAAGTAGCGTAACTATACGTCCTAGCTATATATATCTATCTATCGGTCTTTTATAAGTCTACCCCTTCTTTCTATTCCATCTTATATAGGTACTATCCCCCTACTCTCACTTCCTGTACCTATAAGTCCCTTTTCTTCTATATATACTCTATATATACTCTACATACCCCCTATACCCCCTGTAGGCCCCTCTAGGCAAGTGTAACCGTGTGGAGTGAACCACTGCTTGCTGTGATGAATACGGAGTCAAACGGAAAATGCTGTATTGAGCGAACAACTAAGTGAGGAGGAGAGAAGAGAGTTCCAGAGGAACGGAAGCTTAAATACAGGATGCCAGCGGCACGCACGTGCCGTGCTACACGTGACCAGACCCCAGTCCCTCCAACTCCGTAACAGTAAGTACGTAATTATTCGTAGTAATAATAGCCGGTTCTATCCCTTTTCTACGTAAAGCGATAGTAAGAGGAGGGGTATAAACGGCTTATAGATAGAGAATTATAGAAGGGGGGAGGGTAGCGGGGGGCGTATTTTTAATATAGAAAAATCGGTAATAATTAATCTACTTTATATACTCTCGGCGGGAGTATATAAAGTATAAACCGTGCTCCTACTAGGATTGTTATATACACCAAGTATATAGTAATACCCCTAAGCGCGACCAGGCTATCCCAACCTCCCAATTTTACTACACACCACCATCTCTATATACACAAATAACACGAACACCGTCACATACGACCATAGACTGAGGAGAATTGGGCATCCCGTCCGCTCTGCCATACACAAGCCTCAGATCGGCAGATTAGTAGTTGGGTGGGTGACCACCAGCGAATACCTGCTGTTGTATGTTTTTTCTTTTTTTTTGCTTTTCCTCACTATGAGGTCCTAGTAGGAAACGCCGTTTGAGGGTATAACGAAAGCTAGTTCGAGAATTTTCATGGCTGAGGTTTCTTCGCTAAAGTATTTCTTTTACGTTTATTTACCTATCCTATTTACGTACAAATCCCATACAAGCTCAAAGAGGTAGGAAGCTCCCTATACCATTAACCCACCTATAAAGATTCAGAACCTCTTACTATAGCGCCTCAGATACACAAGAGAAAGACTTTTCAAAGAATGTGGCTCATGTATTATTAAGCGTCTAACCAGCCTAAAATCTACAAGTTCAAGAAACCACTCCGACCATCAAGTTCCCAGTTAGAGAACTTGAATTCATTCATCAAGGTAATTAAGTCTAGCTAACACATCAATCTTGGATATCCCTTTGGCGCATAGCTCACGCTATCTTCAATGCTCGATGAGTGGGGTTGAAAGTTGGTCATTGTGTTGCTAACGGCTCAGTATCTGATTCCAAAGCAGCCTCTGTTGATCTGTTATAAAGTAAAACTTGCTTCTCCACTCGCTTTAGTTTTGATTCCCGATATTGGGGATGGTTCGGATATCATATACCTTGACTATATTCCATCGAACCGTGGACAGACATACATTGTGCATTCAAATATTCATACATTGGTATTATCCCAGCCTTGATATCCCATTAACGACGCTCGTCCCTCAGATAGTATAGTTACGGAATTTTTCTCTCAAAGAGCTTCCATATCGTTCCTCCCCCACAACTTAACAGTTCTATCATACCCTCCACTAACAATCCATTTCCCATTCCTGCTCACATCAACACTATGCACATTCCCCGTATGTCCACTCAGACTCTGCACCAACCCCCAATCATCCGCCGAGAAAATATTAATATTCTTATCAAACCCACTACTCACAAAGAACGTGCCTGATTTCTTCGGTTTCCTTGCGCCTTGCTCGTCAGTTTGTGGAGTGACGCCTAATCCAGGGTCGTCTTCTCCTTTGTACCACCGTAGATCCGAAACTACAGATTTGTGTGCTCCTACTCCACCGGCTGGCGCGACTTTTCGAACGTCCCAGCATTTAATCCAGCCATCGCCTGAACCGGAGAGAACACGGTGGCCATCGACGCCCCAGTCCAGAGCGTAGATGGGACGGATATGCCCTTCTAGAATCATTACTGTGCGTCCTGTTCGTAGATCCCAGATTCGTCCTATACTGTCCATTCCTGCGGATGCTAGTAATGATCCATCTGCGTTGAAAGCAAGAGCAAAGACACCACGAGAGTGTCCTTCCTGTAATAACAGTTCAGTGGTAGTATTTACATCCCATAATCGCCAGGTTGTATCTTCTGAAGCTGATGCTAGATATCGTCCGGAGGGGTGAAATTCCGTGCGTACCACTCGCTGGTTGTGACCTGCCAACGTGGACAGAGGCGTATCTTGATCTAAAGACCAAAGATGGATATTTCCTTCGGCACCACCAGAAGCTAAATTGACGGAAGAAGGCAAGATGGTAGTCCCAGGAAGTGTAGATCCAGGCGCCCATGTGATTCCACCTATCCTATCCGTATGTCCTCGCAAAGTCCTAATCTCCTCCAAATTTGGGACTCCCAAAAGCTTTACCCCACCTCCCCAGTTTCCTGCCGCAATAATCTCCCCGTTCGGCGAAAATCTTGTCATACTGACGGGTCTCTCCCCCGCCATTTGACTACCCTGCAACTCAAAAGCCTGTAAACGTCCCTTAATCCCCTTTCGAAATTTGACATGCGTCCGCAGCGGAATCTTAGACTCTTCCTTCTGACTAGCAACCCTCCTCCTCGCTCTAGGTAAACTGAACCGCGCAATTTCCTTCCTCGCATCAACCAGTTCCGCAACACCTTTCGTATAAAACTCCTCTTCCTGCTCGTTTCCCTCCTCCTCATCCACCCCACCCATCTTCGTATCATTATCCTCCTCGTCCAAACCATCAATCTCAGCTTGGATACTAAGCAACTCCCTCAGCCGGTCTCTTCGGTCCCCCGGTCCTTCGCCAAAGAGAGTGATGGGCTCGCCCATTTCGCGCAGACGGGATCGCACGCGTCCATCGTCGGTGGGGACTGCAATGGCAGCGGCTTTTCGTTTCCGTGAGAACTGGGAGAGAATTGCGGAGGCTTTTTCGGGGGCGATCCCCGCGGTAGTCGAGGGCATTTCATATTCGCGGTCGAGAGCTGTAGAGCTGTTAGTCTGCGCATTGCGTGGAAAGGCTTTGAACTGGTGCTACTTACGGATGTTTGCGAGGTCGAAACCTCTATCCTCTGGCTCTGCCTCCTCGACATATGCTTGACGCGAAGGATGCATGATGCGGGAGTATGGTCGAGGTGTTTGGAGGGGAAAGTTGTAGTTTTCGGCGTGGTGTTGACTTTGCGACGAGGTTCTTAATAATTTCAGCCTTGCGAATTTATTGAGGTAGCGCTTGGCACGTGAGGCTGAGGATTGATATCCATTCCATTACAAGTAATGACTGAAAGCCAATCCTGCATTTTGTTTCCTTAAGTGAGACGACATGAGCATACGAAATGACGAATCGTGAATATATTCTGATTATGAGCAGTACACACCCAGTGGAATCAACATAGTCAACCCAAAATGTTTGGCGAAAAAGATCTATTTGCTTGCTATGTTGCAAATTTGGGGACCTAGAAGGACCTAGAAGGACTTGCACAAAGTCCATATTTTCTGTACTCATTACTACGTTTATATCTGCAGCACCAAGCGTCCAAGCTTACAGGCAAAAGTTCAGAATGTTACTCCAGAATCCCAACCATGTCCCGTCCCAGCTGTAGCCATAAAACGCCACCCAAAACTTCCCTGTTGGTACAAAATCCCCGGCTAGTCATCCTCAATATCATCATCACTTAACACCAGCTTCTGCTCTTGTTCAGTTGGAATTGGCAGCCCCCCATCATGCTTCGCTCTAATTACTAGTCCTTTCTTTCGGGGGCTTTTTCCTTCTCCGGGTTTATCAGTAGCCCACTCCTCGCCTACTGGATTATCTTCAGCATCATCTGGAGTATCCTCAGAAGGAGCCCCAATACCACGGAAGGTGGTTACCTTTTCCAGGTCTCTGATGACAAGCGAGGAAGAGCTTGTACGTCGCGATTTCGCTATGATTGTCATGTAAGGAAGGCGCTCAAGCAGCATTTCCTTACGAGCAGAAGTTCCGACTGATAAAAGTGGCGTGGCTTTTTCGGATAGTTCCTTGGATCGAGAAGACTGATTGGAGTTGGTAGGGTTCAAAATGTGGGTGCTTTTCCAGCTTTCAACCGTCCCTGCTTTGGGTCGTGCAAATGCAGCGGCTCCGGCAGTGATACTGGTTAGATGAGCCCCTTCGCCTTTCATCAATTTCGTAGCCCAGAGGTCAATCGTCGTCTCAATTTCTTCTTTCATCCTCCACAGTTTGAGACTCGTCGGATAAAACATTTTATACGCATCGCCAGTTTTTCCAGTCCTAAAACCACCTGCTGCTGGGGCTTTTCTTGTGACAGGATTGGGAAGCGAAAAAAGAATTCCTCGTACTGCGATCTGAAATGACATTTCATCCTGGCGGAGAATATCGCCACCTGTACCACCGCCAAATCCTGTTGAGTTTAAAGACCCATCCCAAGATGGGCAAAGGAGATCGCTATCCGAAAGGGCATCAATGCAACCATTTACGTGATCCAGAGATGAGAGGTCAAATGAAGTGGAGGGGGCATCGCAAGATAGCAGATAGTTCTCGTGAAGGGCGGCGACAAAAGTTTGGGTATCAGTGCCGGTCTCGTCAATGAGTTGATCTACCATGACCAAGGATCTTTTGGGTCGAGAATGGATGGACATGAAATCTTGAAGCTTTTCCACATCTTCATCGGGTGAGATTGATGGTGCTTTCTCTTCACGCTTGTTGTGAACAACCTTTCCCACAGCATGAAAGATCCCAAGGCTCGCCTCACGTCGAGAGACCATTTCCAGGCTCTCTTCTTCCATTTTTGTCAATGCCAAATCTTTATTGGCTCTTTTTGCTTTGCCATAGGCAATTTTAGCACCCCAGTCTCCATCTGCATCCAAACATAGGAACTGCAAGGACCCTATGGCACTCCTGATATCACCAATTTCCCCAAGCTTCTTCAAGACTAATGGTCCGGGCATTTTTCTTCTTCCCGATTTTCTTGACTCTTTCTGTACCACGGTATCTAATGCTTTCGCTAAAAACGTTGGCGCAATTGCATTGAATTCGATTACGCCCACGCCCGGATGTTGAAGGATTTCAGGGCCAAGTAACCGATGTGCAGTAAAGCTGTCCGCGGATGCAGACGTAGTAGTGAGAAGGGTTTCCGAGATAACCATAACGACGGGCGGTACAGGGTCCTGAGGAAGACTTTTACTGTGAAACAGAGACAGAGGAGGAGTATTAGATGCAAGGTACTGAATAATTGCGGATCTGAAGGACTGCAAGGCTGTCGACGATCGGGTAAACGTATTTGGGAATTCTTCTACCAAAATGATCCGTTTCCTACGATCGAGAGTTTCTGTATCCGGCTTCGAGATAACTGACTCATTATCGGAAAATATTGTTAATTGACCAAACTTCCCACCTCGTCCTAGAAATTCCTCAAATTGCGCTGCCGCCGAGAGATATCCATCTCCCGTATCGACAGACCCAACAGGATTCCGCCATTCAAGAACATCGCAATCCATAGCTTTTGCTAGCAGTTGCACAGTAGTCGTTTTCCCCGTGCCTGCCGCTCCCTTTAAAATCAATAATCGCTGTCTCATTCGACCGCCCATCACATCCTCAAGCCAGCCTCTCACATCTCCAACCTTTTTCTTATGCACTGCCAATTCATCCAGATTGGCCGGAGCAAAGCGTTCGGCCCAAGGGCGCAAATCTTCCTCAACCTTAATAACAGGCGCGGATTTTGGTTTCCTCAAAAATCGTTGGCTCATGCTGGGCGCATCAGCTTCCACCTTTTTGTGAGATTCCAGACCACGTTTCCTAGCTGCTATGCTAACCAAGCTCGAGGATATGGTTTTGCTCTCAGTCACATCATCGTCGTCCGATATAGCATCGGAATCATTCTCTTTCGATTCGCTGGAGGGAACTCTAGGTCGTGCGGTAGGAGCGCCATTCCCAATGGCTTGGGCTTGCTGCCTTTGTGCTTGTTTTGTGAAGAAAGTATACAAATCGCCGCTCTTTCCCTTATCTTCGACCTTCAAGTTCCTACCTGACTTTTGCTTCGCGGGGCTCGTGCTTATATCCTTTGTAATGCCATTGCTTGCGCGACCCTTGGAGCTCGTGGGAAGGTAGATAGGCGCGGCATTGCTAGGATGATTGGATGTCTTCGCCCGAGCTGATGGCCACGTCTGAGAAGTTTTCGTTTGACTTGCCGACCTCGTAGAAGATGCGCCAGTTGAGGAACTCAAAGACCTCAAAGATGACTGTTGGCGATTCGTAGATGGCTGTGCCTTGGGTCTAACTAAGGGTGTTTCGTCGTCGTCAGATAAGGAAGGGGAAGAGGAAGGAAGAACATTCCGCCTTCGTCGCTTGGCTGGGGGCGCCATGCCATAGACTGACAGCTTTTACTCTTCATCAGTACGTGCAGTCTTGAGCGGAGAGAGATATGGTACACGGTACACACTATCTCCAGACCCGGAATATGGTGGTGTTGATGCCTGGATTTGGAAGTCAGATTTATTGGTGACGCTTTGTACTAGTATGGGGTCTGAATCAGGCCGTAGTTATTCCGGGGCAACCCATGTTTGCCTGCGGCCTGCAGGTACACCCCCACCTCCAGCCCCTCAGCGCCCCTCTATCTTGCTTTCACATACGACTAAATGAAAAGTTGGTATTAATACTGCATTACATTATCATTTGAAACTACTACTTCATAGATCCCAATTTCTCTATCATCGAAAGCATGACGACCTCGGAAACTGAAGCATTCAGAGGCGGATCAACCTCACCAAAACCCACCAGACGCCCCCATCGGATGGTTCATATTAAACCAATTCTTCTTTGGAGAGAAAGATCTCATGCTCTCTATCCTCACCGCGGCCTCAATTCGCTTCCTCTTCTCCTTCTTGGGATCTATCAAGGTGCCGACAAATGGAACGAATTCTGGTGCATCAGATTTTAAGATCTCTGCATCACCACGAATCAGACTCCGGGGAATGCTCAACATCAGATATCCATTCCCGAAGAACTTAAAGCGCAAAGAGCCATCACCACAAGTACAGTCGACGTTCAGGTTCTTCCGTCGGGCACGAGTGGGCAGCGGAAATGATTCGAGTTCAGTATTGACTTCTGAATCGAGGTAAACATCGCCAATGACCATCTTTTTTCCTTCCACCTCAACATTTTCCGTTCCCGACTTGATGAATTCTCGAGAGTAGAAGCTGACTCTTTTTCTCGCCGTTCGGCTACCCTGCATGCCAAATTCTTCAACATAATCAGAAGAAAACAGTTCAAATTCCTGACCAAGAATTGAGTCTATCGAGATCGTGCTGCCATTCTTCTTGGCCTTTCTGCGAGCCTTTTTGAACCCTCGATATGCGGCGTGGACCTCGGCTTCTTTCGCCTTATGGCAATTCAGCATTTCCGTTTTCTGATCATCAAGCTGCTCCAATTCGAATTTTCGTTCCTCACGTTCCTCTTTGAGTTGCGAGTAAAGGGACCCATCGGAGCCATCACCGTGATCCGACTCGTCATCAGTACTCTCTTCCAACTCGGAAATGTCTTCATCGTAATCTTCAACTCGGATTTCCCTGGTGGTGATGATTCGTTTGAGCCTGGCGAACCAAGCTGGGCGGGCATTTCGAGAGCGGCGATGCTTTTCGACGCGTGAAGCTTGCGGTCGTAGAAAATCTCTTCGGCGTCTTGACCTAGGCATCTTTATTCTATGCAAAATAGTACGTATGATGGTTGTTGTAGCTGATCTCCTGTTGATTTGCATGGTACAGTATTTTTAAACAGGCCGCGTAAAAGTAAAGTCGCGTCTGTTTTCTTATTATCAGAAACTTGAGACAGCCCATTCCTGCAGAGGAACAACCCGGAATGCGGTAATACTACTCGCAGAATTGTTCTATCCACTTCAATCAACCGAAAATTTGTTGTTTTTTGTCTTCTTTTGGGACTTCTTGAACCTATCATACTTCGCTTCTTCCCACTTCTTGCTCTACATATCTCCTTCCAACACCAACATATCGACCTCCTTCAATTACAGCGTTAACACAAAACTACTCAACTACAATCGAGTAGTACTCGAGTAGTTATATAAAATATAACTATAATACAAGAGACTTATCCTCAAATAGCATATGTCTAATACAGGGGCACTTAGCTAAGTCCACATACGCGGATCGACCGTCCGGAGTCCGGCTAGCGAGTCCTGGGCGCGCTACGGGGCATCGGATCGAGCCGGCCCGCACTACTCGAATAATTCGTAAGTTAATTAAGTACTTGGCGAGTTAAGTTAATTAGTAAATCTAACTACTCGAGTTGAGTTGAGTAGTAGTAACTGGACAGCTCGAGACTCCCCCCCTTGTCACTTTCTGACATACCTCCACATGAATCGGACAATTCAATTGGCTTAGAGGGCTATATTGTGGAATTATACCCTGTCTATAACAAGTCGTACACAGGGAAGGGGGCGACGCGAGCTGTCCAGACCCTATGTGAGAGGCCAGACCTCGAATAGCTCAAAGGTGTGGTTTCAAATATTCAATTAAGAAGTGCGTGAAGACTACATACATGCGAGCTCTTCCTCTATATATAGAGGAGGAGCTTCCTGAATATTCCAAGAAACTTGCAAGAAACTTGAATGACGAATACATGATGTCAGAAGAACAAAACAAGAAAGTGTGGAAAAGTAGAAACCTGTTTGGCAGTGGGGTAATGGCCAGTGCTAAGCAGGGACTTTGGTCAGTGCTTAACGAGGACTTTGGTCAGTGCTTAACGAGGACTTTGGTCAGTGCTTAGCGAGGGCATGGCCCGAGCCTCCATCATGGGTTCCAACCCTCACACCCTACCTACTTAACTTAACTGACTCGAATTTTCTACGCTGATCACAACTTTGACTGCCTTCAAAAGATTAAAGTAGACTATATATATAAATCTTCTAGACTCTCGCGAGCTCAAGTCGCGGTATATTCTAAAAAGCTAGAGATACTTAAGTACCTTTCGCTCTAAACAAAAGATATACAATAGCTTATCTTAATTTATCGTTAATTAATAAGGTTATATAAATACTATTCGAGTAAACGTTAGAGTAAAAAGATTCTTAGTATTTAATTCTCTTAAAGAATAGCTAAGAAAATACAGTTATTTAAATAGGGTTTAGATGATATCTTTTTTAGCTAATATAATAGACTAGCGATATAGATAGTATAATTGTTATATTTTATACTCTAATATGAAGAGCTATTATTTATATTCTCTACTTCTTAATAATAAATTATTTAGATAGAATAGTATATATATAAGAAGAATAAATTAGCATAAGGATACCGGTGTAACGAATACTCAAACTGGCTAACTAAACTTGGCTGGGTGTTCGCTGGTTGGTATGCTATGATAAGAAGAAGACTATCGGGTTGTTCACTTGGAAGTGAACTCGTTACTTGTATCAAAGATGTCAAACTAATATGATAAGATTGATAACTAAGTTGAGCACGAAGCTCCTATCTAATGGCAGACGTGCCAGTCTTATATAGAACCTTCATCCTCAAGTACTATGATCTGGGTAGCCAACTCGCCTGTCGAGCTGGCGGTCCGTTTCGCTAGGTCGCCGAGCGATCCAGCGATCCAACTTAATCATGTGACCATAACCAATGGAAATCCCTGGATCGCTTAGCTACCCTAAGCGATCCCTATTTGCTATAAGAAACCTGGGTATGCCTGTCGAGGGTTGCGCCTCTTATTATGACAAGTATCACGTGAGCACGTGATTCGTGACAACCGGTGCTTGTATTTCCATCATAAAACTCGCATTTCCTACTTACACGTACTGTCACGAATCACGTGTTTACGTGACGAATGAAGACCAGGCGGCGCCCTGACAGGTCGAGCACTATCCGAGTAGTTATAGTGTTTGACATCTTTGATACAAGTAACGAGTTCACTTCCAAGTGAACAACCCGGTAGTCTTCTTCTTATCATAGCATACCAACCAGCGAACACCCAGCCAAGTTTAGTTAGCCAGTTTGAGTATTCGTTACACGTACACACCCAAAACACCGCTAAAATGGACATACCAAGTCATCGAGGGCGATATAAGTGGGTCAATACGCATTATACGAAGTACTTCGAAGAGTTCCTCTTGGGAATCCAAGCCTCGGTAAGTCCACCTTGAAACTCTCCTGCGTAGCACCGCTAGCCTTAGGAGAGCCTTGTCTGGCCTTGCTCGCATACTACAATATTTTGTTATAGATATATGTGAAGAGCACTAATTCCAATGATCCTTATAAGAAGGCTGCTATATTCCCTCTCTCGAAATTTTCTTTTCTCTTATATATCGCACTTATTATTTCGAAACCTTCACATCCATCAATTCAATCCTCTACACACCATGAAATCCTTCACTCTTCTTCTAACTCTGGCTCTTGCCTCGGTCACAATGGCGTGCACCAGAGCCGAATGTGCTGCGACCTGCGGGGGGGACCAATTCGTAAGTAGTTTTTAGATGCTTCCTAATCAACTTTAATCTTACAGTAACTAATTTCTTCTCTCTCTCGATCGCAGGTTGACCACTTCATCTGTCACCCACCATATTTGGCAAGTAGCTCAGTTACCCAGGAGTGTTTCTGCAAGGGCAACTAGATCATTACACCTTGCGACGAATTGGAAGAGATGGGTTTCATAACGGGGCTGGTTGATAGGTTCTCCCTCATACTGGCTTACCTAGCTAGATAAGAAGTATGCTAGGGGAGTAACGAACGTGTTTTGTGGTTGTCCGGTGTGGAAGGGAAGCTCAGGGATGGTGGTATGTACTATTATTAAAATTCTGGACGTCTTTTGGGACTGAACAGCGTAATGGACTTCAAATTGACACTTTTCCTAAACATATCGTCTTGAGAACTTGTGATGAATCAAGGTCCAAGAAGTGATCAAGCATACTCCGTAGGGTTGATTACCTATCAATTCGCTACAAGGTGGAGAGAAGAGAGAAAAAAAGTGGACATTGAGCTTCAGCCTCAGGAACCAAGACGTGATCCATTCCCGTTTTCCCCGCTAGGGCCATACAGAGAAAGAGATGTAGATAACTTCTTGTACTCGTATTGTTAACCATTGGCCCAACCTACCCAACCTTGTCTCGAAGGATATCTGTAAACAGTAAACTGCTTATTTCTACGAAGTACTACAAATACACCCCTTGATTCCAGGTTCGCTCCACCAACTTACAGTACATGACATGACATGGGATGGGATGAAACTGTGAAACCATCAGACGTGCCAAGCTATAGCTAATCGGGACACGGACCTCCTGAGGTTCGTTTCCCATCCCAAGTGCTCCGTATTGAGTTTGTGCTTGTGAAACTAGTGGAGCTACTTTGACAGTACTGTATGAGTTAAGACTTGAGTGTTCGAAGTCTTGATACATCGATGACAGGAATGGAATTGGAATTTTCCATGCCACAGGAAAACACTTTGTTGTAGAGTGGTTTTATTTATTTAGATTTCATTAATATGTAGGCTTCATAAGAGCCCCATTGGTCTATTCTGAACAAGGGAAAAAAGTCGTGTCAATGTATCGTACACGAAGTTTCCCTGGCAAATATATACAATTCAGTGAGTTTGCGCTGGGTATTTTCTGTCTCCATTTTCAAGCGATTTATAAGTCTCCAAAAGTTAACTCCTTGGGTATTCTGCCGCCCATCCTGTATCCTCCTATTTTTTCCCATTCCCCTTTATGTTTATAATTTTGTAAGTTTACAACATCAAGATACCAGCAGCGACGATAATGGCCGTGGAGATGAATCCAGTGTTGGCCATCAACATAAGACCAGCCGAATTGGCAGCAGCAGCAGCAGCTGAAGGAGTGGGAGTGGGAGAGCCTGAAGCAGCAGCAGCTTGTGCGCCACCGGGACTGGTACCTTTTTATTCTTTGTTAGCATCGAGTTTGAGAGGGGAGAAGAAGCTGTGTACTAACCAGATTTCTGGTTCTTGGCATCCGTCTGAGATTTGCAGGCCTCTACGAACGTAGCGTTGGCCATCATCTTATCCAGATTGGTCTGCGCCTCAGCAGCCTTTGCTTTCAAAGCAGCAGCCTTTGTAGCATTACCCTTGGTCATTTCAGTGATGGCAGTCTCGTTTCCGGCCAAGGTCTTGAGCTTCTGGAGGGATCGCATCTTCTTGCATTCGGCCTTGAGACTCTGTTCAGCTCCGATGACGTTGCAAACATTCACGAAAGTGGCGTTGGATTGCATGGTGGTCAACTTGGTAGATGCCTCAGCTGCCTTTGTTTTGAATTGTGCAATTTTGGTTGCGTTGTTCTTGGTCATTTCCGCGACTTTGGTGTCGTTGGAAGCGACCTTGACGAGGTGGCTGAGTTGGGCCATTTCTCTGCAAAGGCTCTTATCGTTAATGGCCTTGTCACCTCCGTGGTTGTGGTCATCTCCATGTTTGTGACCGTCTCCATGACCGTCATCGTGGGTGTGGGTTCCATTCTTGCCCTTTGCTGCGACGGCAGTGGCGAGCAAGAAGGTGAAGAAAAGGTTGGTGAGTTGCATGTTGGCGGTTGGGTGGGGAGTTTTCTTTTTTGGTTTTAGAGATTAAAAGACTTGAATGAAAATATTAACAGAAAAACGGACCGGCCGAAAAGAGGTAAAAAAATGGATGAAGAAGTGAAAATGGTTAAGTGATTCCAGATGATTTTCCAAGAGACATAACTTGTACTCTTTATAAAATCACAACGAGAGACACGGCTCCACACAACGTTTGCTAGTAACGTGTAAGTCTTAACTGTATTCAAGGGGTCTGAACTAGCGGGACCGTGAATACTTGCCATTCCCAGCCAGTACCTGTCAGTAGATCCTTTCAGTATCTCCAGGGCCTAAGCGGGATGATGGAACGAACATGCAACAAGCGGCGTACGTCCAATCTCTGACGTGAGAGCCCAATCATAGTATACTGGCGCCAAGCAAAGTCCTCCATCCTGTCTTTAGTCGGGGATTCTGTAACGTGATTTTCCTTCGATGCTCGATACGCTCCGTACGCTCCGTACGCGTTTCCCTCTGCAGGGCTACAAAGAGACTCATATTTTCAAGTGGTCGGATCTATTCTTCCTCCTCGGGATCTTTCGGGAAATCGAAAGTCTTAGTGTGGTTTGAGTCTGATTGACGTAGAAGTAGGTTAATTCAAGATTCTGTAGGGTTTCGCATAGCTGACCCTGGAATTGACTATCTCTTGGAACTTTTAGAGGTGATCAACGGCAGTATGTTTCTGTTTTTCAGATGGCGAAGAGTGTCAAAGTTGTTGGATGGAAGTGGACGGCAAGCGAAACATTTGTCGTTGAGAGGGGAGGCTCGCTTGTGGGGAATGGTGAGTGTTGATTGGCTGGCTTTGAGTACATGCCTGACAAACAAGGTTGTTCAGGGGTGTGTTCTGCGCGGCAGGTTTGAGTTACCTGAAGATCAGATGCTCTGGTAGGAAGAGACGGCTCATACTAGTTGGCCTCGGAGTACATACAAATTAATTCTTTATAAGTGAAAGATGTAAATGCTTATAGTGAAAGTTATAATTAACTAATTAGACAATTAATAATTTTCAAATCAAATCTTTTGGTTTAGGAACTTTGGCTAACTACTAAAGTAGTTGGTCGTAGTAACTGTGACGAATCACGTGTTGGCATGTGATAAGTAAAGACCAGGCGGCGTCCTGACAGGTTAAGCACCATCAACACACTCTTATAGCAAATAGGGATGCTTAGGCTAGCTAAGCGATCCAGGGAATTCATCTGATAGAAGTCATGTGACCGTCATTGATCATTGGTGATCAACTGAGCAACGCTGAGCTGGATCAGTGGGATCAGGGTGATCATAATGATCAACGAGCAAGAAGGTTCTATATAAGACTGGNGTCATGTGACCGTCATTGATCATTGGTGATCAACTGAGCAACGCTGAGCTGGATCAGTGGGATCAGGGTGATCATAATGATCAACGAGCAAGAAGGTTCTATATAAGACTGGCACGTCTGCCATTAGATAGGAGCTTCGTGCTCAACTTAGTTATCAATCTTATCATATTTGTTTGACATCTTTGATACAAGTAACGAGTTCACTTCCAAGTGAACAACCCGATAGTCTTCTTCTTATCATAGCATACCAACCAGCGAACACCCAGCCAAGTTTAGTTAGCCAGTTTGAGTATTCGTTACAGTAACCCGAACACTAAAGGCTCGGGTCTTCAACCTCTAACAAATCAACCACCAACTTGTTCCAGATGATTTTTAAATAGAAATAACACAATTAAGTGGCTAAATACGAATTGAACCTTACATAAAATAAACCATTATCTATAGTTCTAATAACGTAAGCTCGAGGTCTAGATTCTACGGGTCTACGTTGTTGAGGTGCTAGAGCGTCTGCGCACGGGTCAGCCCCATCATTCTGGCGCTTTTACGAGTACAGTGCAAAGAGGCCGCATTAACACAACCAACGGTTAGATTTATTATTGTATTGTGTATATACTTATTCATAATTAATTGAGCACCTCTCAACAAGAATGAAGTATTTCTGACTGTTGGTTGTTAAGTTATTCATTATTTTAGGCTTTGGTGTTCGGGTTGATTGAATGTTTACTGCGACCAACCACTTTAGAACCAACAAAACAATTCGATAAAATATTAATTCCGCCAACTACCTAGCAGTCCTCGAGAAAATACCGAATTGACCAATGTCGCAAAAAGTCTGTATAAAATCTTGTGGTAGACTTTATGCTTTTTCTGAAGGTGGTTTTCGCCGCTACTAGGTCAATGGATGTCAAGTACTCGAGTAAAGAGTGCTGACTCCGGAAACCTTACCCTCGGCAGTGTTGAGAGACAAAGAGGCATGCGGATTTTGGCCTCAAAACGTGCCTCAATAGACTCCATATTGGACCAATCGCTGCCGGGGATCACATCGCTACCAACATGAGTGCCGTATATCGTGGAGCCGGAGCCGTGAAGGACAATGCAATTACTGCCTCTCAACTTTTGAATGGTCGGGTTGCGCTGAAGTTGAGTCGCGACGTTCCGATAGCTATCGCTCCCAAGAGGACACCACTACACTACACCTGCCCAGCATTCTTTCGCCCTTGAAACTCGCAACCCCCATCCAACGTCGGAGATCATGCCGACGCAGCACGACACTGGCACTGCACCACTGCTGCCTCTTGAGCAGACTCCTTCGCCCATAGGCATAGGAAGAAGGGAATCCGAGGAATCCGTCTCTTCCGCATCCACCACAAGCTTGGTCTTTGAACGGATTGGCGAGCGCGCCAACGCAGAAGCAGAAGCAGCAGCAGGCCACAACACCATGGTCACTCCCAAATTTTCCCCCAAGGGGCTAGGACTATCTCGGAATGATTCACAGGCATATGCGGACGACGACCAGCCGGCGCGTCGGCCGTATGAGGAGGAGGACAAGGAGGAAGACGACCTCGAGAGCGGCCCTTTCCTGCGCAATGGCGCCACGTCCCAGACCATCGACACCAAGCTCCGCCGGTTGATCTGGATTGTGGGCGGAGTGTTTGTGGGAGCCTGGCTCCTGGCCATGGTGGTTTTTCTGGCTCGTCAGACCTATCGACATTCGTCCGACATACCCCACGATCCCGCGGCGACGGCTACGCGGGGCTCAGGGAAGAAGGTGACCTTGGACCAGGTGCAAAGCGGAATATGGACGGCTCGGAGTCACGACATCAGCTGGATCGAAGGGGCAAATGGAGAGGATGGCCTGCTGCTGGAGCAAGGTACTGCGGGCAAAGACTATCTGGTGGTCGAGGATATTCGAGGAACGAGCGAGAATGTTGCTGGTGCTCCTGCTGCACTTGCGACCAAGACCCTGATGAAGCAAAGCAGTTTTGAATATGGCGGCAGAAAATACTTTCCATCCAAGGTTTTTCCTAGCGAGAATTTGAAAAAGGTTCTTATTGCGACCAACATTGAGCAGAATTGGCGCCACTCCTTCTATGCCACATATTTTATATTCGATGTCGACACCCAGACTGTCGACGCACTCGACCCCGCGAAGCCCAACGACAGGATCCAGCTGGCAAGTTGGAGTCCGCAGAGCGATGCCGTGGTTTTCACAAGAGAAAACAATCTCTATCTGCGAAAGTTGTCTTCCAAGACTGTCACCCAGATCACGAAAGATGGTGGACCAGATTTATTCTACGGTGTGCCAGATTGGGTTTATGAAGAGGAAGTTTTCGCAGGCAATAGCGCTACATGGTGGGCGAATGATGGCAAATACATTGCTTTCCTACGTACAAACGAATCTAGGGTGCCTGAATATCCCGTCCAGTATTTTCTTAAAAGGCCTAGTGGAACAAAGCCGGAAGCCGGGCTTGAGAATTACCCAGAGGTTCGAGAGATCAAATATCCCAAGGCTGGTGCACCAAATCCTACTGTCGATCTTCAATTTTTCGATATTGCCAAAGGAGATGTCTTTGAAGTAAATATCGCAGATGGATTTGGTCCCGATGACCTGCTTATCACTGAAGTAATCTGGTCCGGATCCAATGAAGCTCTCATCCGTGAGACAAATCGGGAAAGTGACATCTTGCGAGTTGTCCTTGTTAATGCGGAATCTCGGTCTGGAAAAACGGTTCGAACTCGAGATGTGCAAAAGCTCGATGGTGGCTGGTTTGAGGTTTCCCACACCACAAAGTTCATCCCTGCGGATCCTGCCAACGGTCGGCCTCAAGATGGCTACATTGATACTGTGATTCACGAAAATTATGATCATCTAGGCTATTTCACCCCGTTGGATAATCCCGAGCCATTGATGATCACGTCTGGCAATTGGGAGGTCGTAGATGCTCCTTCTGCCATTGACTTGAAAAATAATCTCGTTTACTTTGTAGCAACTAAAGCCTCGTCGATTCAACGACACGTTTATAGCGTGAAGCTAGATGGCACCAATATTCAGTCCGTGACAGACGACGGGCGAGACGGATATTACGAGGCGAAGTTCTCTAGCGGTGCAGGATACGCTCTTGTGAGTTACAGTGGGCCAGATATTCCCTGGCAAAAAGTCATTAGTACTCCAAGCAACCCCAACCATTATGAGAACGTCGTCGAAGAGAACCGTGGTCTGGCGGATATGGCTAAGAAGCATGAACTCCCAATTGAGATTTATTCCACTGTAACTATTGATGGGTTCGAGTTAAATGTGGTTGAGCGACGACCACCTCATTTCAACGAGAAGAAAAAATACCCTGTTCTCTTTCAACTCTACGGGGGGCCTGGGTCCCAAACGGTTAAGAAGACTTTCAAGGTCGACTTTCAATCGTACGTCGCTGCAAACCTTGGGTACATTGTTGTTACAGTCGATGGCCGCGGCACAGGATTCATTGGGAGGAAAGCTCGAACAATAATCCGGGGCAATATTGGATATTATGAAGTCCGTGATCAAATTGAGACTGCGAAGATATGGGGAGCGAAGAAATATGTTGATAAATCAAGAATTGCAATCTGGGGATGGTCCTATGGCGGATTCTTGACACTCAAGGCCCTCGAACAAGATGGTGGGAAAACTTTCTCGTATGGTATGGCGGTCGCCCCCGTAACGGATTGGCGCTTCTACGATTCGATTTATACTGAGCGATATATGCATACCCCGCAGCATAATCCCGGCGGCTATGATAATTCGTCCATAAGCGACATGAAAAGTCTGCAACAAAACGTCAAGTTCCTAATAATGCATGGTGTTGCAGACGACAATGTTCATATGCAAAATTCGCTAATACTTCTTGATAAGCTGGATATGGCCGGCGTTGAGAATTACGACGTACACGTTTTCCCAGATAGCGATCACGGAATTTATTTCCATAATGCGAACAGAATTGTTTATGATAGTAAGTCACAGTGTAGTTTAACAGAGAGATAACCACTAATGCTGCCTCAGAACTAAGCAATTGGCTCATCAATGCATTTAATGGAGAATGGCTACGCACAGCGAATGCAGTTCCAATGAAGATTGATGCAGCTGAATGAAAGCGAGTGTAGAAGCATTGTTTCAACTATTGTAGAAGTATAAATTAAGGCTCAGAGGCGTTTCCTGGATATTTTAGCATAGTCTGCGAATTGGCGTATCACGAGGCGTATAGGACCTAGGTTGTTTACATCATCCACAAGAGAAAATGATTTTAGTATAGCCTGCTTCGGCGGTGTTCAGAATATTTGCAAATTTATTGTCTTATGGTAAGGATAAACTGTCTGATACATGCGACGAATTATCAGCCCAACGAGACCTGCTCGTGGACCAAAATGCCAAAGTCCTCTGTTTTCCTTCTCTGTCCGTCATTTCCTACTCTGTGCTGTTTTCATTCTATCCCAACGATCTCTTTCAAAACTAATTGATACATATTGCGAATCCTCGACGACAATCTAGTTGACTTTAAAGCTTAACAAGACCATCCAGGCCACCCCATAACTCTACAGAGGTCGACGCCAAGCCCTTCAAGCGAACCACCTGCTCCCTTGATGTCAACTAGCTTAGGACCATGAACCGACTTCATTAGAGGCATCTTCTTGGCAAGCAGTACGCTTTCATCTCCACCAACTCTGACGACAACCACTCTTTTGCAAAGAGGACTTATCGTCGACCTTGTCGACGACGCTGGCCTCGTTCAAGAAACCATAGTGTGGCTCAGAAACCCTACCAGTACCTCTTGCATCTCCAAGTTTCTTACCCCTAGCCGAATACTCATCAGCAAACCCAAACAACAGCTCCGTGTCTTGCAAATCTGCATCCAAGATGGGCGAATTACGCGCAACACTTTGATTTTGTTCGCGATGAGTGGGTCGCACACCGATGATGGGTAGTGCTTGACCTGCAAATCGGGGGACGAGATGACCGTTCTGATCTCGCATGATCTCGTTCTTGGATCTATGCAAATTCATGGTCTGGTAATTTTGACCCCTTTTACTGGTGAGGATTGGGCTCAGGGGTAAGGCCGGGGTTAGTGGCCTGGAAACTAAGGGTTGTGCAGTTGGTCTGGTGTCAGAGGGGGATGGAGAGGGTGGGGTTGGGGCTGTTAATAGGATGTCTGGGATTGTGGTGAAGGGTTCCATTCGCGTGGCGCGGTCTGGTTCTTGATATCCTGGCTTCAGGAGAGCGGGGATGGGAGAAACGTCAATTCTCGTGGCTTGATCTGGTTCTACATATCCCGGCTGCAAGAGAGCGGGGATGTTAGAAGGGTGACTTGCCTTTGAGGTTGGGCCTCTGGTTCTTGAACTTGGTACCGCGGAGGCGGCAAGCTCAGAGGGCCGAATCTTAGAAGGATGACCTACCTTTGAAATCGGACTTCTGTTTCTTTAGCCTGACGAAGGAGGGACGGCGAGCTCAGCTGGCAGAGGTCGTCGAAATCGAGATGGCACTTGGGGGATCTCAGAGCCTGGCAGTTCGACGTGTGCAGAGGGACTTGCACTCGAAGACCCATTATAGCAGGAATTATGAAATTCTTTTGCTTGCTCTTCCGCTCGCGAGCCACGTCGAGCACTCGCTCCCAAGTCTTCTTCCGTTAACCAAGCCATGCCAGTACCAATCTTCAAGAGATTTGGCATACTGGCTGTCGACTTATGATTAGTTGGTCTTTGGCTAGGAAGATTATTGCGGTCGTTCAATGAAGATTGATTCGGACTATACGCAACATAACCAGAAAGCGACTCGAGGTCTTGAACCGGCGGCGTAGGACTTCTTGTCTCAATAGCTTGCGACGTAAGAAGAGGCTTACGATCGTCCAGAGGGGATTGATTCGGACCATACCCAACATGACCAGAGAGCCACGCGAGATCTTTACCCGTAGGGGTAGAAGCTCTTCTATCACCTACCTGCGAAGATACAGACGAAGGTTGTCTAATCGACGAGTCGCTAGAGGAGCTGCTTATCAGACTAGCCGCATAAGATCTGTTCTTTGCCATTTCCTTATTAATCATAGCGATTACGTCGGGATTCGATTTCGTGGAACGAAGACACGCACCTGTGAGTGATTGCGCTCTCTTGATCGCCTTTGCGTCCAACTTCTGAGGAGGTTGCTTCTCGATTTCTCTTGATTCCTTGTGCCAGTTTCGTATCGGTTGGTGAAATCATTGCGCCTAATGATGCAATGGTCTTCAGCGACGCTTTACGTATATGGGTTTTCATGGAACTTAAACTTACCTGACTGGAGAAGGTTTTGGTGGTACGTCTTGCGCGTCTTAGCTTTGGAAGTACCATGTCCTTGATTGAACGAGACTTGTGGTACTTCTTGGGCCGAGAGGGGCGGCAATCAGGGCAGAGTTCTGTTGGAGTCAAATCCCTTCTGCTGATGGTGTGCCGAGCTGAATCGCGTTGAGCCGGTGAGCAGTCCGTACTCTTGGTGACGGTGTGCTTGCAGAGAAAGGTTATTGCCTGAAAGAGACACATGATGACTTTTTGTAGTTTGAAAAGGTCCCGTGTAGTGGATGCAAAGGCAGCAGTGGAAGTGATTTGAGTATTTGTAGTAATAAAAAACAGGTTTAAGGAAGTACTTGTAAAGTGTTCCCTAAGGCTGATGAGTGATGAGTAAGCAGACACACGCGTACGAAACCCACGGGGGGCTTTTAACTTAGAGTTGAGTTGCTGTTCGTATCTGGGGATGGCCTTTGAACACAACAGCGACAACAAAGAGGACAGACAATAGGTTTGTTAAAGTTCCGTTTTCTAAATAAAGGAACGAATTTAAGAAATCAAGATTCATTAGCGTTGGCCGCCTGTCAGTTAGTGTCTTTTCTTTGATAGCATACAGTACAATGCTATAGCTCATGAGTTAGCTATGCCAAGGTGCGCTCAGTTGTCACTATCTTTGTCAAATACGATGTGCGCAACGAACCAAGATATTGCAGCATCCTTGCTCCAATGATGACTTTGCATCTTGAATTAAAATTGTTGAGTTTGTTCATAATGTCATTACAGGGACTTTCCGCAGCCAAGATGCGAATGATCCGCCCCCTGCGAACCTCGCTTAAACCTTTTCAAAACTACACATCCCTCTGCGGTGTTTATTTACAAGTACTGTACAGTTTATAGATAATTTTGTACAACCGAACTTACGACTTTTAATCAAGATATTTTGAGCAAAAGCTGGCCAATACTAAAAGTGGCGCTATTAAGGCGAAATGCTACACGCGAACACACGATAAGAAGTTCACAATCAAAGGATTTACGCACACGTCAAGGTTGGAGTTTAATGGAAAAGTTTGAATTAGAGGGGACTTAAATATGAATGGGAATATTCCTACCATTTGTGTAAGAAACAGTGTTCCAAATTGCAAATTCCTCCTCTTATCCTCTTCTCTAGTGATACTTCTTGGCTTCACCTCACTAGAAACGATACCTCAACTCATAAATCCACTCCCTGACCTCCTCAAACTTCCACCTCAACTTATACCTAACACCCTTTGGTTTTCCTCTAAGCACTCGGAACGAGTGACTGGGAGAAACAGCCCTTGGAACCTCTTCCAATGCTGGGCTTACAACTTCAGCCCGCTGGGGTAAAGGTACCTCTGGAATTGTTTCCAGGATTGGGATATTGAGCCTCTTGAGACGTGCTTCCTGGGTTTCTCCTCTTGATTTTACGGGATAGACACGTCTTCCTCTGTCATGTCTCTTGCGTATGGAAAGTAGGCAGCATGGACATCTCGTGAGCAGAGGGGAGGAATAATTTCTCCCGATGGTGAGAGCCGAGGACTCACCTCTATAGGTGCCTCCATGTCGATAGCAGGGTAGCGTTTCGGTCGTGACGTGACCGCATTCGTAGTTTGTGATTATTGATTTGCACATGTTGCTTATGATGAATTTTAGATTTCTGGGAAGTTAGCACAAATTTCTATTTTGGAGATATTTTGACCAGAGATATAGACAGACCCGAGTTCGAAAGTTAGACAAATGATTGTTCTGTTCATAAAGGCTGTTCATTGTTCGCTTGCCGTCTTTTGTCTCTTTGTTACCTTCTCAACAACAAGGGCATTCTCCAAATGCCCCTTTGTAGCCCACCCAATCCCCATCAAAGGCGAGCTTCCGCGCCTCCCTCGACGTCAAAGGATGTAGATTCCAAAATATAACAAAGAATCCACGGAAAGTATATCAACGCAACAACGCCTTTACAAAAGGATTGTTCATTCTTCATTTTTTTCATATACCTCACGAATTCAACGACTATTTCCGCGTGTTGACCACGCACACTCTCGCTTATTTCTAGACTAGACTTTAATTTTCAAGACTTCAAAAGTACCAGCGCCGGTCGTTTCCTATTATCTTTACACAATTCATAATCCATAATACCATCTCAACCCAAAAGGACCTCCAAAATGCTATCCCTCTTCGGTCCCTTCCCCGACGCAAAACACCCAACACCCCTCCAACCCCTCCAACCCCCACCACCCACACCACACCACCCCGGCGAACCCATCCCATACATCCACCACCGCCATTCCAACCACCCCAATCCATGGCCATGGCACGAACATCCCCACGGGTACTCCCTCCACCCCTCACGAATGGAAACGGATCCCCTGCACGGCTACGCCACATTACGTCCCCTCGACGGCTATCTATCGCACCGAGAATATGCGGGCCGTCAGCTCGAAAGGAGGCTTCAAGCTAGCGAGCATTCAAATGTTTGTCCGGTTCATTTCCTGGACCATAATGAGATTGGTAATGTAGAAGGAGAGGAAGATCCGAAGGATATCTCGGCTAGGAAGGCTTTAGAGGCGAGACCGAGAGTTTCTGGTGAGGATCGTGAGTTGTTGGTGCCTATTCTGGAACTCTGCCTTTTGGGTTTTGTTACTTGGACGTTCTTTTCGTAACGGAATTTTGACAATGTGGGGAAATACGGTATCTGTTTTTCTTTTGCTTTTTATGGTTGTTTCTTAACGAACTTTATGAATTTTATTATCTTGTTATTTTTTATATACTTTCTTTCAATGATGTCTCTGTATCGTGGTTTCTATATTTTCTCATGTTCGCGCATCAGATCATCTTTTTGAACCTAACCATATACCTCCTTATCTTTTGACAATTCATCTACTGCTAACGACACAGAGACCCGGCGATTTGCGAGGAACGAGATAATGATCACGACAATAAGATACTAGATTAACAGAGACACCGTCAAAAAACTTTAACTCCTCAGCCTACCTCCCAAGAGGAAAGCCTTTCATACAACGCAACAACCCCACTCAACCAAAACCAAAAAAGATCAAAACACCAACATCAGTCAAATCCCCTTTTCAAAGAGAACTTAGACAATGTCTACAAAACAGCCCCTAGTTTTCAGAACTCAAGCATTCAAGGACAACAAAGCTGCTATACGAGAAATCACCAACACCCTCCTTATCAGCACTTTTATACACCTTCGCTATGAAACCATGACTATACCTTGTACTAGTATTCTTGTTTCGCCATCTAACTTTTACATTCTCTTAATATTATACCGGTAGGTAGTACTAAATAATCATAATAACCCCGTCGGATAATCAATAACTTAAAAACTACAAACTCTTTCCAATCACCTTATCCTCGAATAAACACCTCACTCGAGCATCCCTTGTAAGAGCTATACATCCATCTGACTACATTCCCAGCATACCCTACAACTCTCAAACCACCCCCAAAGCACAGATATGTAGATGCGATAATTACATCGAACTAAGTCTCAAATGCCTAAAATCGTAGGACCGTAGGACCGTAGCTCAATAAACTACTGTACCCATCTCTTTTCAAAGAAGGATATTATAGAAGAGTAAACACATTCCCTCCACTCTATTCTACTTTAACGCTCAAGCTTGCCCATCCCGTACGTCTATGTATTGTATCTAGTCTTTGTCCATCTGGTATCTACTTTCCATTCGTCTCTCTTCGTTTGTGCAGGAAATTAATGGGTGGGGTTGGGGTTCGATAGTACTGTCATTGATTATTGGGGCGAGTAGCTAGCATTGCAGTTTCGAGACCTAACTCTCGAGACGGAGATAGAGACGGACATAGGGTAGGATTTCGGGGTTGATGTTGGTTTGATGTTGGTATTTGTTAGTTCCACTCTTAAGAATTGACTCTGACCCGATACACCTGCATAACCTTACACTACCAAGTACATAGCTAGCTACCAGTTCTCAAGCTCACCTGAATGTTAAATAAAAATACATTCCATAATATTTGTACTCTAGATATCTTTCCTACTCCCATTCCGTAGAAGTATCTCGCGATTATTATAATCTACCTACCTACCTACCTAGCTAGGGAACTTGTTGGTAAAGTAGTTGGTTGGTATCTAGTGGCTACCTACCAACAAAATACCAATTCAAGTACCACACAGTATCTAGGACTCCATTCTTTTGTAGGAAATGCCAGGCTAGGTAGGTAGTTATCTGTCTTTGTAAAATATGGATATATATACCAACTACCAACAATGGATATAGATTGGAGATAGAAGAGTGAGAGTTGGAGTTGGTTGCGCTCCCAAGGTTAACTCAAAACTGTTCTTCATCATCTTCCTTTTCTTCTCTTTCTTACCTACCTCTCCCACCGAATTCCACCTCACCCCAAACCAAAAAATGTCACAACCCCCCACCAAGTCCGGCACCATCCCCTTCAAAATCCCCAAATACTCCGTTCCCTGCGTCACCTACTACAAGATCTTTGGCGGCCTCGCCTGTGGCGCTCCACCCGTGGTAATAGTGCACGGCAGCCCAGGAGCTGGCCACGAATACCTCCTCTCATTTGCAGACCTGTGGACCAGACACGGCCTACCCGTAGTATTCTACGATCAAATCGGCTGTGGATCATCGACTCGTCTTCCACAGACAGCCGGCGATGGAGAATTCTGGCGCGAGTCGCTGTTTATCGACGAGCTAGATAATCTGCTCGATCACCTCGACTTACGCGGGGGATTCCATCTCCTAGGCCAGAGCTGGGGCGGGATGTTAGTCGGTGCGTATGCGGCGAGACGGCCGAGGGGGCTAAGGAGGGTGGTGATTGCGAGTGGGTTGGCGAGTTGGGAGTTATCTATTAAGGGGATTGAGATGAGGACGGGGGAGATGGATGAGGCAACACGAGAGGTGCCGAGGAGGTGTGAGGAGGAGGGGGACCTGGATAGTGAGGCTTATAAGGAGGCGGTGATGGCTTTTAGTAAGAGATTTGTGTGTCGTGATGATCCACTACCCGAGTTATTACTACCGGCTCTCAAGAACCTGGGTGAGGATACAAATGTCTACGGAACGATGTACGTCCCACCTCCACCTCCCCATCTCCCTTCCCCCTCCCCCCAAAACACCAAAAACAACCACTAACCCTCCA